CTGGTATTCCATGAACTAAGCCATAGATTTTTTGATTACATGGAGTTATTATTAGCATCATATTTATCTTTTGTCTTAAATCTATTCGTTTGACAGATTTTCTCTTTTAAAGACAGTAAACTTAAATATAATTAAGCGTTTTGGTTCATGACATAGTAGCAACTTTTGCGGTGAAATTTTCGTCTAGACTAACCTGGAACGGGAAATGGAATGTTTTGTCAACTGTTTGAAAGCGTTTTTGTATTCTTTGGTGTTAAGTCTTTATTGGACAAGGTCTTTTGGTAGAACGGAAATTAGTTGCAATTAGTGTTTATTAGCAAAATACAATCACGTAATCAACTATATAAGGCATTATTCTGACAAAAGGTGATATAGGCGCCATTCTTCGACTAAGTTATTGACAGCAAAGTGGGAAGAAGGGGAGTAGGGAGGAAGGGAGGGGAGAAAAAATGTTCTTTCACTTACTTTACTGATTTTTACTAGTAAATGGAAACTACACCAACTGGTCACCATGGACGTCGTGTTCGACCACATGTGGTGTCGGCGTTAGAAAACGTAACAGAACATGTACCAACCCTAAGCCAATGTTCAGGGGGAGATCGTGTGAGGAGCAGGGCCTGGGTCTACCAAGTCAAGCTGAACATTGCTACATGCGACAGTGTGCAGGTATGGTGTTCTTATTTGGCCTACGGAGCTGGTATTCTTACCAGTTCAGCTAGCGATCTTTGACGTTTGGGAAAGTTCAAGTCCTCTACATCAGTTTATCCATCAGTTTTTCTCCATTGCCTGCATAGTCCTACCGTTTAGCCTGATTTACAGGAAGAAATCCTAAAGTATTACTTGCTAAGAGATTTTTCCTTACAAAAACCTTCACGCAACCGAAGAAGCTCCACTACATTAAACAATTATTAGATGAGGCTTCTGTGATCACTCAAGGTCGAGCAAAGTGGCCATGGCTGATACAACTTACCGAGACCTTGATAATTCCGGATATCGCAAAATTCGAATCAAATAATTGTTTATTGCCCATTATTTTGAAGAAAATAACGATAAACACACCGACAATCGCACCAAACACAGATTGACATTACTCTTTGGAAATCGTGCATTACGCGCGCAACCTCCAGATTCAGTGTTCAGTTATCTGCTATTGTAGCTAATATATAGGTTGCGCTTATTTCAAAAATTAACTGTAGGCCCTTAGTCAATGAAAATACAGATGTAGGTTTAATGTATAATAATCGATTTAATCTTGCCGTGGTCACGAAGGAAGGATCAAGTTTTCCTAAAACAAGCAACACAGTCTCTCATATAAAACCTGCTCCTTTATAGTTTTGGTAAACCAATTTCTCGAGTGTGATTTGTAAACTGTTTGCAATGCGTTTCATGATTCAACAGTTAATGGAAATTACACTCACTGGAGCGATTGGTCGCCTTGCTCACATTCATGTGGCCCTGGATACATGGTTAGAAGTCGAACATGCACCAACCCCCCTCCGGCAAACGGCGGATTTGAATGTTCAAGACTGGGGCAACCGGTGCAGAGTACACAGTGTTACCTTGTGGATTGTCCAGGTACCCTAAAACTTTTTAATATATTCCAATCCCCACCCCTCCATATGATTAGTATGTGTAATCAAATGGTGACGAGTGAAATTAGGGAATAATTTCACGCGCGTTTTGTCCAAATCCTTATAGTTTCCCGAGCCTTTAGGCGAGTATACCATTTGATTACCTATTAATATCATGGGTGACGAATTACGTTAGCAATCTTGGATTTTTGACATGTTTATCCTGGATCGTATCGATCGAGAACTCCTTCACTCTCTCGAACGTTTAGAGCTTAAATTTGGCTTAAGTTGAGAGTTTTTCGACAAAATACCTGTTAGAATCCTTCTTGATGTGCTCTTTCGTGTGTTAAGGTTTTCTAAAGTCTTTTTGTGCCCTGACATCTTCATTCATGACACCGTCGCCATCTTAACACGGACATTACGGGGTCTGTCACATGTGAAATTACAAATTTGCTGTTCAAATGAAGGAGTAATTCGTCACCTATGATATTAATGGCATAAGGGTTATGTCCGCGGCTTATACTTACACTTTACAGTCTAATCTCGACCTCTTTAATACGGACCACTCAAAAGCGCAGAGAGTTCCAAAGATACCACACTTCGTGCATTCTCGACCTCTTTAAGAAGACACCTCTACCATGCGGACATTAGGGTCTGTCGCTTTGCTGTTCATATGAAGGAGCTTCGAATGTATATCAACCAGGTCCACAAAATTATTATCAGTATTTGTTCACTGAAAATACCCGGCAAGAAAGCTAATGCTTGAGGATATCAGCAATGTAATGTAATGCAATGCAATGCAATGCAATGTAATGTGAAATTAACACGCATGAACCTTGACCGTTAGCCACTTCAAGTTTATAAATGCGAAAGTTGTCGATAAGTGTGTTTAAGTAAAGCATTTTACGTATTGTACGTAACCAAAACTAAATGTGTGTATTTCTTCAGTTGATGGGAACTACACCCAATGGTCAAACTGGACCTCTTGCTCAGCTACCTGTGGTGAAGGAACCCAAACAAGAACTCGCTACTGCACCAATCCACCTCCGCTCCATGGTGGCAGAGATTGCACTGAAATAGGCTCCAACATCGAGATCCAACCATGCAAGAACCAAGACTGCTTGGGTAAGAATTGCTCTGATCCAATCCTGGCTTTGACGTTTTGTTATGGTCAGACTAAACCAATTTGTGTAAAACTGAGTCTGAACAACTTCAAACTGAAGTTATCATTTCTACTGCTTACGTTGTGTACTGTACCTTTATGCTGCTTATTCACTAAGCTTTTAAAGAAATTTGCTAAAAAAAATGAATGTTTAGAATCTGAAGATTTGTATGCGTCATTTTTTTAACACGTTTATAACATTTAAAGCAATTTTGTTCGAATACGAAGTCGAGAATAATCAGGGTAAAGCATATTTACGTTAATTAGATATTTGATACTTTTTTGGCCGAGTAGACGAGGCGGAAATTGGGAACCTCTTCCCTACCCTTGTAGTAAATGAACGTGGAATGAAGATAATCGGGATTTTGCTTATTTTATTGTGTGTTGTTCTCTTTTGTTTTTCTGTCGAATGAAATTTCTTGTTGTTTAATAACTGTTCTAGTTAATGGAAACTACGGCAAGTGGTCAAGTTGGAGTATTTGCAGTAAGACCTGTGGACGCGGCTTGAAAAAGAGAATCAGAGAGTGCAACGACCCCCTACCCTCCAACGGCGGAAAAGATTGCTACGAGCAGGGACTGGGGCCCAGCGAAGAACGAGCTCACTGCTTTGAGCGATCTTGTCCGCGTAAGTTATTTCGTTACTGTTAGTTTCCTTCGGTCAGAACTTTAAAGTCTAATTCTGAACACAACTTTTTAAACAGCATGTATTTTTTGCGATGTTCTTATGTCGCTAGAAGTCGTGTTAATGGCTTCCTAACTTTGCAAATCGGTTTTAAGTTTTAGTGGGTGAAGAACTAAGGCATCATTTCACCATACATTTTTTTGAAAGGGGCGTGGCATCATTTCATTTGGATTTTATAAATTTTTGTTTGTTGGGGCGAAAAAAAAAATTGGGCTTTAGTTTGGGATGTCGGAGATCGAAAAAAAAAACAAACCTTGTCAAGGAGTTTAAAATATCGGAAGATTATTCGTGTAGTGTACATGTAGCTAACCTTTTCACTCATGGTCTGCTTTAGTGGACGGAAATTACAATGATTGGTCAGCCTGGACCACGTGTTCAGTGTCGTGTGGCGGCGGCGTTAAGTTCAGACACAGAAACTGCACCAACCCAGTGCCAATGCATGGCGGCCGGGACTGCTCCATGATTGGTCCAGCTACCGAGAGTGACAGCTGTCACGGAGAACCCTGTCCAGGTAGGTGCCATCAGTAGGCTTTGATTGTACGTGAATTTCGGTTTGAGCAGCCTGCATAGCAATAGTTTCTGTTTCTGTTTAGCTGAGCGGAGAAGCGCAGGAAACGCGCGAGAAAGGGCTGACTTAGCAACAGATCTGGAACGTCAGTTGACGACGGGAAAGCGCGCGGAAAGGACTGAACGCGACTTCCGGTGCTAAATTTCTCGCACTGCCATTGGTCAAGCCATTAGTGTGATTTTCGGGCGCCGTCGTCAACTGACGTTACCGTTCTTTGGCTAAATTAGCCTAACTTAAGTGGGGGACAAGGATTGGCTAAAACGTGACGGAAACGCCCGCTTTGTGAGCCTCTACACAGGTCTCGTTTCGGGCTGTTAATAGCATTATTTGTGCTTTGTTTTGCACCTAGATGTAGTCTTGTGTGTTTTTTGCATTTGATGGCCAAGGAGACCTCTCCCTGCTGCTTGTTTTATTGTTTTATTTTCTTTTAATAATATTATGCAAAGGTAGTCTTGCGTGATTAGAAGTGTTTTTTGGAACATGCGGGTAATAAAGATTTTCTAGGTTTACGAAATCTTTACTAAAAAAATAATTGAAAATTATCTCCAGCCAACGTTTAAATTGGATACCATCTCTATTGTTTTTGTAACGCCACCGTTATGTGAAGTAAGTGTTCTAAATCTCCAAAAAAAAGCTAACATCGCAACTCAGGAAACCGCCGATGTAGATATATTAAATTAATGCCATTTAAAAATAATAACACTTCAAAGGGAAGGAATCCATTAAGTTTCTTAGCGACGTAACCTCTTAACCCTTTAAGTCTCAAGAGTGACCAAAGTCAATTTTCTCCCAACGATGTCAATGCATAATCGAGGGAAAATGTTGTGAGAATTAGTGAAATAATCACCTGATGGGAAAAGCTTTTTCAGCAAACAAATTCTCCCAACTGATTCTTTAAGGAAATGTATGAAGATCAGTCTGGCGAATTTGTATGTAGATATTTGGGCTTAAAGGTTTAAAAATTCCTTCAGTTATCGCTCACGTTCATTTTGTCTCCTTTTTAAAACAGTGAATGGCATGTACGGCAGCTGGAGTCTGTGGAGCGAGTGTGATCATTCCTGTGGGGGTGGTATTCGGGTCAGGTCTCGCTCGTGCACAAACCCACCTGCCCAGTTTGGTGGCTCGGATTGTGGCAGCCTAGGACCTGACAGAGAGACTGAAGTCTGCAATTTGGGTTCCTGTCCACGTAAGTAGCATCTAGTGTTACTTGAAAATCCAACAGAAGCGTTGGTATCGATGGAAATCCCTTAAAAGTAAACAGCTCGGTTAAATATGCTACTTTACTTGTTCTAGAAGTCCTTGATGCAACATAGAAATCGCACGCGGCAATTTTTGCGGTTTTATCGCCAATATTTTTGTTAGCCCCTCAACCTCATAGTTTCTGGAGCGGTAAATTGATTCTCAGTGTGTTTCTGACTATTTTTCATAGTAAACGGAAACTTTAGTGAGTGGACTTTGTGGACGCCATGTTCGGTCACGTGTGGCCAAGGTATCATGACCAGGAAACGATTCTGCACCAATCCCTCTCCGACGATAGGAGGCAAAGACTGCACGGATCTTGGACCCGACCAGGAAAAAACCAGTTGTCAGCTTGTGGACTGCAGAGGTACAGCTCTAAAATAACTTCTATGTTGTACATGAGGGTAAAGACGCTTTTAAGTGGCTTAATATGGATTCTGATCGTCACAAATCGAGATGTTCTTTACACAAACCATTCCCAAAATACCATATTTTTCAGTATTTAGCGTTAGCCTCGCCGTACGTTATCTTCATTAAGAAGAGCGCAGTGCACTTCAAACTTGTAGACAGCTTTCGCTTGAACTCAATTTGTCATGGTTCTCTAATTAGGAAATGGAACCTTCTCTGAGGAACATTTGAAACAAATGGAAATGTTTCAGTACCTATAAAGCACAAAAATAAAATTCATCAAGCGAACGTTGTAGAGGTACCGTGCTTTTGATCGCAATATAAGGGCTAATAATGAAATGTGTTGAGAAGCCAGCTTGATAACACCCACAGTTCGCTCGTGATAAGAACAAACAGCACAGAAACTAAATGCCTCCTGAATACATATGTACCAAAGGGTACACCCTCTCTTCAAAGAGGACGATAAGGAAAGGCCTGTGGGCTTCTTTTGAGTTGATGTGATGTTGATGTGTACTCAGCATCAAGTGATTCATTCTTCCCTTCTTTTTCACTCTACTTAGCAAATTGTACTTGTGGAGCTTGGACGAAATGGTCGGATTGTTCTCACTCTTGTGGAGGCGGCGTCCAGCACCGTGAGAGGGATTGTATCCCACCCAAGTCCGTGCCAGGCATGACATGTGACAATGACAGGAGGGAGAGCAGACTGTGTAGATATGAACCTTGCCCCAGTAAGTAATGATCAATTACGGTTTTCTAAGAAACTGCCCACCTACCCCTCCCCTAAGCCAACATTTTGCCCTAAGTGAAAAGTAAGTGTTAATGTTGGCTTAGGGGTCATTTCTGTGAATTGATTAATTCAACTGTAACTGGGTAATTCCACAGTAAATGGCAAGTTCAGCGACTGGTCTCCATGGTCACCCTGCTCAGTCACGTGTGGTGTTGGCATGAAGAATAGAACACGACGGTGTAATGCACCTGAACCACAGTTTGGAGGGAAATCATGCACAGAGCAGGCAATGGGTCCAAGTACGGAGAGTACTCAGTGCTATCTGACGCCCTGCCCAGGTATGTGGTGCTAAGTTTTAGTTTATAAAATTCTCTAAATCGATAATATGCTGATTCCATGAATGCTCATTCTTACCATGGAGTTGACATTTGAAAAATAACTCCCTAGTCTCAAAAGGCCGCAGATTTTTTAGTTTTGTACCTTTCATCTGTATTGCCCAGTATAATATGCTGATTTTCATGGCCTAGGCGCACGGCATTTACCTCTGTTGTTTGAGAATGCGCGTATACTCTTTTTTGGTGAAACTAAGAACTAAAGTTAAATCGAAGAAAAATGTTGAAAGTCAATAAATTTATTTCAATATATTTGCAGGATTCATTTATACTCATACAATAATCTAGCATCTCCTGGAACCTTTCATGTCGAAAAACGTTAAAACAGGCAAATATCCGTAATATTTGAACTTGTCTATTTAGCCCTCTGAATAAAATTTTTGTTTACTTTTCAGTGAACGGTGGTTATACCGAATGGAACAACTGGGAGCCGTGTTCGGTCACGTGCGGAAAAGGTATCAAAACGAGGCGAAGGTTCTGTACCAATCCGGAACCGGCTTATGGCGGTGTCGCCTGTGCACACTTGGGGTCTGGGGTGGAGTCTGTGCAATGCTTTGAAAGCAACTGTCCAAGTAAGTGTCTCGTTTATTGTCGCTGTACGTTATTTGTGTTGCAGAGTAATTTTGTGGAAAATTTTCTTTTAAATTGTCCCGCTGCATCCTGAAGTAACTGAGACTAATCTTTGTCTGTTTGCTTTTCCGCTTATATAGTTGACGGAAAGTACAGCCCGTGGTCTCAGTGGTCAGCGTGCTCAAAAACCTGTGGTTATGGAATTCAGACAAGGAAACGTACCTGCACCAGTCCGGAACCACAGCATGGTGGACGGGACTGTACGGACCTAGGAGACCCGGAACACATCCGGCCTTGCCAAGTTATACAATGTCCTAGTAAGTTAAGAATATCCTCAATCGTAAACGAAGGCATCAAAGTAGTTGGCCGTTGGGTCTGTTCGCTTAGGCTTTTCCGAGTTGAAAAGACTTTTCCGAATTAAAAAGACTTCTAAAAATTCTCTATCATATATATCATTTCCGCCAAAAAAGTATAACAGATAATGTAAAGATGTGATATTAGAGAGTGTCCACAATAAACAAAAATGCTAAATATTTTGAAACTGATAAAATTTACTGAGATCATCATCGTGATCATCAAAAGGATATGACATCGTCCTTAGACTTTGCCCTGGCTGATGAAATGAAATTTTTGCAAAACAACTTGCTCTGTGGAACCTCTGCACCTTATATGTAATTAGTTACACGGGGGTTGTTTAGGCACAAATGTAGGACGAACCTTCGATCAAATTCAATTGTATTTGATATTCTGCTTCGTTTTAATTTTACAATTGTAGTTGTAACACATTACTACAAAGCGATCCAAGTAGAAACCAATCCAAAAATGTTCTCCGTGACAAATTTGATTACTCAAATGGCCGTCTTCTATGAGTGATTTGGTTTTAACCTTTTTGACTGTCATTTGTAGTTCATGGAAACTATTCTTCGTGGTCAAACTGGGGAGCGTGTTCTACTTCTTGTGGGCCTGGGATCAGAAAAAGGACTCGAACATGTACGAACCCTGAACCAGAGTACGGTGGGCTCACATGTGCCGAGGAGAAACTGGGACCCAACGTCGAATCCTCGAAATGTAATCTTGGGGATTGTCCAGGTAACTTCACTAATGGTAGAAAAGCATTTGTATGTTTGTTTGTTTTTAATGTGAGCATGTTAGTGAGTTTTACTTTCTTATGTTTGAATACAAGAGATGTATCTTTTAAAATATACTTTTCAAATAGTGTTCATCGTGTTCTGCTCCGCTTTTTAGATAATTTTTAAGAACTGCTAGTACTGCTGTTTTGGAATTCTTGTTCGTCATAAATAAAAGGACATAATGAAATGCTAAATTATTGTACAATCGTTTTTAGTGAACGGTGGCTGGGGTCCGTGGTCCTTATGGTCAGCGTGCACAACCAGTTGCGGTCCAGGGACCAGAGAGAGAAAACGATCGTGCATCAACCCTGCTCCGAAAAATGGCGGGAAGCCTTGCAGCGGTGCTGAGCAGCAAGTAGGAGACTGCAGTTATCGACCTTGCCCGGGTAAATAGTATAGTGCTTACTGAATTTGGAATCTGAATCTAAAGTCGTATACTTTTATTGAGTGAACATGCGGTGAAGAAAGCTGGATGAGGAGAATATCTGTCTATCTTGTCAAATCTTAGTCAAGAAAGGATTGTTTTTTATTAAAGAACCTGCAGTCCCAAACCCGACAACCGAAAGATATCTCCATATACCCTTTTTGGGTAAGCTATCACAGCACAAGATTTCTTGATCTTGTCAACGCTATGTAATAAGACAAGTTCTAAGCAAACTGTCAAATAGTAGTGTTGCACGAAGTCAAGGAAAGTGCTTCATTAACCTTTAAACCTTGGGCGATTGGTAAGAGATAGTGTATGGCGAGTACAGAATTGCTACAAAATTGTCGACTTGTGGACTTTCTAAATTTCTCTTGGTTCTTCCAGAGTTTGAAGCAGCTTATGAAATGCTGAAATTGCCTCATATTAAACAATAACATCCCTGTAAAACTACAATGAAATGGCTCACTTCAAATCATTGTAGCTATGGGTAAAAGCTGATTTCCCTTTATGTTTGTTTCAGTGGATGGTAATTATACAGAGTGGACAGCATGGACTGCGTGCGACAAGACTTGTGGGGCAGGCCTCATGGCGCGCTGGCGCGCATGCGCAAACCCTAGTCCTCAATATGGCGGCAGAGATTGTTCAATGTATGGGCAGGATACTGAGACTAAGTCTTGCCAAATAAAGGACTACTGTCCAAGTAAGTCATCCTTTTATATTTCTTCTTCTACAAGACTACTGAGTTTGTAAGATCATCGCAGTTATAAATGCGCGAACTTTCGTATTTTCACTTTCTCTATTATCTGAGTGAGTTGAAAGAGTAAGGTAAATGGCTTGCCTTTGATGGACCTCTTTTTACATGTAATAAGGGTTGAAAAGAAAAAAACAGAGTGTACAATAGAAAGGATTAGGCACTGAATTAATAATACGCTTTCCAGCGCTTGTCGCACAACGTATGTAGACGTATAGCCGTAAGTCGTTATTGAACGCAAAAAATTTTCCTATTCCATGTTTCAGATGATGGGAACTGGGGTGAATGGTCCGCGTGGAGCGCTTGTACTAAATCGTGTGGTTTTGGTGTGAGAATGCGCGTGAGGTCCTGCGATAATCCGGCGCCATCAGAAAATGGCCGAGATTGCAAAGGAGAAAACACTCAAACAGTAAATTGCAAGTCTGGTGATTGCTGTAAGTACTAAAAAGAAAAAAATCCTTTTTTTATGGGGCGGGAAGCGGGGTGGGGGTAGCAGTTATCATCAGGTTTCACATGAAAGATCAATAAAATTTACAAGCTCTCACGAGCAGCCACGCCTCTTGGACAGGGTCAGCAGATGGTCTTGATAATTTCAAATGAGATATCGTCCCCAAAATGTTCAAATCTTCAACAAACAGCCTAACCTGCCTAAATGCAAACTACCTGTACCAACATATGAAACTTAACTGTAAGGATATTGCTCGGGTGATGTCACTCTCAACATCATGTCTAGCCTGAAGCTGTTGCAAGCAATATCACCCGCAGTCTTTCAACATATAGACCGATGAGTAAGCAAGCTTTTGTTGCGCCTCAATTATCTTTCGCGCGTGGTATCGTGCGTGTATGTTACCCTCCAGATATGTACAAATCATTTTCTCTTCAAATTTTATGATTGAAAGACTTTCCTTAGAATATTAGCGAGTCAAGCCTTGACATATTCGGTATTTTCCTTAGGTGATGTCCCGATGCGACCACTCGGTTGTTTCCAGGACAAAAAGTCCCCCAGCCGACCCTTGCCAGAACTTATTTTTACAGACAATGATCCTCAGAGCACCTTGTACAGCGGCTTTAACGTACAGTCGGATGACTGGCAACAGTATATGCCTGAGCTAATCTGCAGGTTTGTGATCCTGTAAAAATCATCGTATCTCCATTATCGTTGCCGCGTATGCAGGCGTTATTTTTTCGCCTTGTTTTTTCAGGCGAGTGAAGGCAAGAACGAAGTAAGTGAGTAGCGCCAGACACGCGGAATAGGGAAAGGCGCCTTCCACTACCGATTTTTGCTTCACTCGCCCGAAAAAGGCGAAGAAATAGCGTCTACTTTTTTACAATCTAAGTCCTTTATTGAAAGCCACAAGAATAAAAGCAAAAGAGCTCTTTGCACTTTGTGTGGATTTGTAGAGTAAAAGGCGTTGCTTGATAATTTATTCAATTTTAGATGAATCGGTAGAAAACTGGTATAATGTTATGTGAAGGTTAAGTTAAATTAATGATATATTGAACCAAACCTAGTATTTTAAAATCAAATTTGGATAAACACCAACAACCGGATTTACAAAGGAAAGGAACAAACCAGTGAAAGAGAGAAACGGGGTTGAAAATGGCGGCAAGGACTCACACCTACGTAAGTAATTAAGGTAGCTTTGTCACCTTTTTTTTCGATATTATTAGGTGCGCGCAATCCGCTAGACGCAACAATTACACTCACTTCGGTATACAAGGTTATGGGGAATGCTGGTCAGGACGCAACGCCGATAAAACGTTTTCCCGTGACGGCGTACAGAACGCCTTCACACAGGAACCGGCGCCAAAGCCATGGGTAGGTTGTGTTGGAGACAACTTTGAGCGGTGCCGCGGCGGTGATGAACCGTGTGTGGGACAAGAAGACACTAACTTTGTATACGCGTTTGTTAATGGTAAGTGCCCTAGATAATCACCATTGCTCTGGTTTCGTTATCTCTGATTGAAAACTCAGATATAAATAACTTCGTGACCACTCTACTTTTCACACTGAGCTAACACTCACTCTCCTGTGCTTTAAGTCTCGCCAATCAATGGAAAGTACGGCCCGTGGTCCGCCTGGACAAAATGCTCCAAATCCTGCGGTGGTGGGTTAAGATCACGAGTAAGGAATTGTACCAGCCCGGCTCCAGCCTACGGTGGTAAGGATTGCTCCGAGCTTGGGGAACCTCAGGAGAGTGAACCTTGTGGGTCAACTAAAATCTGCCCAGGTAAGTTGCCCGTTACCTTAAAGTTCCGCTTATAAATCCCGTCCCCCACCTATAAGCCCCCCACCCCTGCCCCCCAGTAATAGGCCCATCTGCCTGCAAACAAAACGGTTTAGGACACTGTAGGATCTATTTCGCGAAGCAATAGCGTAACTGGGAGTTCTGTTTCGTAGTTTTGCTGTGGAGTGACCCGTTGGTCAAAACACCACAGAAATAGGAATTGCACGGAATGCATTACTGAATTATCTCAGTACGCAAATTTTGAATAACATGAGAGGCGTACAAGCCATAGGAAAGTGCTTCTTGCCCTTCTCGGGGGTTCTTTAAAATTAATCAGTGCTTATATAACTACATAATGCGCATAAAGCAAGTTATCTTTTTCTTCTGTAAGTGCACGTGCATTTTGCCTTGATGAAACACGCTCGTGCGTTATAGCAATATCATCATCGTCATCTTTCTGTCCTTTTGGTCTAGATGTTCTGAACAATCCTATTCCACGCATTCCGGTCCGACGTCGCGTTTGCAAGATCTTCCCAGTCAACCACAGGGCCCCTTTTTTTAAACACAGTTTTAAAAAGATTCTTATGAAGAATATGTGCTTGATTTTGTAGTTGATGGAGGGTGGAGTGCATGGGGCAACTGGAGTGTCTGTTCCAAATCTTGTGGCAAAGGCGTCATGGGAAGGCGGCGATTCTGCGATAGTCCGGCACCATCCAATGGTGGCCGCCTCTGCGTGGGACCGGTAAATCAAACATTGTCTTGTAATCAAGGCGAATGTCCAGGTGAGTCAAATTAAGAATAGAATCGTAGAAGCATGAGAAACGTTGGTACTCACAGATTACGTTTGCAAGCGTTTTCTATAACCTCGTCTTCATTTAAATTTCAATTGACCACTTTAGGATACGAGAAGACTGGGCCGAGTTTAATTTCGCAAAGACTTCTGGGGTTGTTACTAGGGACAAGGGAAAAATGGCCATTAGTTGACCTGCGCGTTCCCAGTAATGATCCAGAAAACAATTGCAGGACACAAACGAGAAAGCGATTGAGTGTTACCCATTTTCAATTTTGAGCCAACTGTCATGTTCTGTTTCCAGAACTCACACTCTCTCATATTGCTCACCAAAAGATAGCGTGAAGTAAGGCACAAAATTAACCAAGGCATAGGTGTCTTATTCCTAAAAGTTATAGTTATCATGTTTACATATAAATGCGAGCATGCAAGCTATTTTCGGGGAAGTGAGACAGAAAGCATTTAAGATGATCTCACTAGCTTGCAATAGACGCTCCCCGGGTACACACTGGCGTTTACAGTATCATCTTGAAGAGAAAAAGTATGGTAACATTACACAGGGTTCATTATGCAAAAGATTTTTCTTGATAGAACAAAGCGGTCAAGGCCCATTTTGCCTCTGCAGGGAGCCAGTCTGAGCACAGAAACGCTTCCGCTTGATCTTGGCTTCTCCTGGGGCCTGCTACCATATTATAAGAAAAATAATGGCGAAGTTTTGTTTTATACTAATAGTTAACGGCAGCTGGTCACCATGGAGTTCCTGGCAGGCCTGCTCCGCTACATGCGGGGATGGAATACAGATGAGGACTCGCGTGTGTAAAAGTCCTGAGCCGACTAATGGAGGCTACTCGTGCGAAGGAGAAAATGTTGATGTGAAACCCTGTACAGTCAGGAGATGCCGTGAGTATAGTGGATGTTATTTTAATGGCTTTGTCGTGATTGATCAGGCTTGATTGGTTTGAAGGCGCTCCTCATACATATGAACTATTGGTTAACCCATAGATATAGATAACTGCAGAGCTTGCCTTGGCTGCTATGAAGGGATGCCCCATGAATATGAACGATTGTAAACTCAAAAAGATAGAAGCGATAGCGAGTGTACGGACTGCTAAAGACACGCAAAGCGCGCTTAGGTGTGGACAGCTAAAGACACGCACATTACGATTTGGTAGTAAGACGCAAACAGGACTTCCAAAGGAGGAACACCACCAAAGTTCCATGTGTTAACTGTAGAACGTGCCGCAGAAAAACTTGAGTGGAGAAAAAAACAGTCCATCTGGAGAATGGGGCTTAGAAAGGGAGTTACGAGGAGAATGGAGAGACGTTGACGCCTTCTATGACAGTATAAAGTTCAAGTTGATAGTTAAAATTACCGCGCAGGCATTATCTTTTCGCAATGTTAAAACTCAAGATCTGTGATATTTTAGTATTGTTAATATCATTTGCTTTCTTTGCTTTCAGCCATTAACGGCAACTATTCTGAGTGGTCAGACTGGTCCTTGTGTAGCAGATCGTGTAGTGGTGGAATAAAGACAAGAAAGCGTGAATGTATCAACCCGAGTCCTCAATATGGTGGTAGAGATTGCAAGGAGGTTGGCTCTTCCACTGAGAAGGTCCATTGTAACCCACAACCCTGTCCAGGTGGGAACTGAGTTTCCTTTTTCTAATAACAATTGATAATTTGCCTGTAAACGCGGAAATGATTGCTACTCAGACTAGGTCTTTGTAAATCGTTCAATTTCAAATTCAAAAATTCCAAAAAAAAAAAAAAAAAAACGGGAGGGTCTGATTGGAATTTGCAACACGGAAGAATTAGCTCATCCGATAGAGGGCCAGTATACAGACCGGTGGGTCACGGGCTCAATCCCCGGCGGATCACAACAATAGTCAGGCTTTTACAATCATTGAGAAATGAAGTTACAGTACATCCTTTGCCCTTTAAACGGCTTGGCCTACCCGTGTCTTGCATAGACCACGTAGAAACAGCGGTCTCATTTTCAGTTGGAGACATTACACCTATGTGCTATATGTGCTACGTGCTTTTGTGCTGAGCACACCGACACACCGACACACGTAAACGGCAGGTTTTAGGAAAATTCCTCTCGTTATAAATCTTTATGAAAACACTGACCCCATTGAAACTCTCCTCTTTCTTTTGCAGTGCACGGAAACTGGGGCTCATGGAACATGTGGAGTTTCTGCTCTGCCAAGTGTGGACCTGGCAAAAGAGAGCGCATGCGCAAGTGTGATAATCCGTCGCCCAAATTTGGAGGCAACAGTTGCGCGGGCTCAGACAGACAAATAATGCCTTGCAGTTTGTCTGACTGTCCTGGTAAGTTCAGCCCCAAGATTAGATCTTGCCTTATCTACCGTAAAAAGGGGGACTTTCTTTTATCTCATCTTAGACGTGGAAATAGCTTTCCACGCAGACGTTCTTAGGGCCTCGTCACGCTTTAAAACAACGTCTGCGTGGGAGGCCAACGTGGAAGTTTCCTTTTTGGAAAATTTGCCCACAAATTAATGCCACGAAAAGGAACGTGCATATGTCTACGGGTCCTGAATTTGAAGGCAATCCAAATTTAAGGGTGAGTGCTTTATCTGCAACCTCACCTCCGTTAGCCATCCTTATATATTTTGGTATCAACTATCGTCTTTGAGGAGTTTTTGGTTCGAAAAATCCCAGCATTGCTTTGTCCAGAGTGAGCGGAAGTACACAACATCGTTGAGTTTCTTCCTGATAAATTGCACTTGTTCTTTTCAAGGGAACTACAGAGAAGAAGCCTTAGTTAATGTTCGCCATCATATAACATGCATCGTAAACCTTTAACTCAGTTTAAGCCCAAATATCCAGACTGATCTGTCGTTTATTTGATGCAAGATCAAAGCACTTTCCTATTGACGATCATTTTATTAATTCTCAATACCGTGTCTCTTGATGATGTATGGATATGGTTAGGAGAAAATTGATATTAGTCACTCTGGAGACTTAAAGGCTTAAGTTGAAATAAACTTTTAATGTTTCAGTTGACGGTAAATGGGGTCTGTGGTCTGCGTGGACGGCATGTTCAGCCACGTGTGGCGCTGCTAAACGCTCGCGAACACGCGAGTGTGATCACCCCCCAGCTGCGCATGGCGGTAGAACTTGCGAAGGGCCTGAGAAACAGGAAGAGTACTGCAAGCTGGAGCCTTGCATGAGTAAGTAAATTACAGTTCACATTTTAATTTATCACTGTCTTCAAATTTCCTATGATCTGAGTTTCAACCCACAGCGATTTTCTAAACTTTCAACTTGTGCATCGTCTTTCAGTACATGGCGGCTACACCAACTGGGGAGGCTGGACCGAGTGTGACGTCACTTGTGGTGGTGGACACAGGCAGAGGTCACGTGCCTGTACCAATCCTGTACCCGAGTATGGCGGGCTCAACTGCACGCATCTTGGGAACACGGTGCAATCTGATGTGTGTAATACAAGGCCCTGTGCGCGTGAGTATTATCAAGCATTCTTTGAGAACCTTCGAGAGTTATACCAAGTCTAGCTCCTCTTAGAAGATCTTCCTTTACTTTTTCTATTCGTGGCAATCGAGCAAAAATTTGAGAACTCACCAACGATCATTTTGAGTAATAAAAAATGGCGCTGTTATTTCGGTGTATATTTCGTTTGAATGGTGGAATTAAAATGGCCTCTTAAAGGTCGTTTGCATTTTTGCCCTTCGCAATTCGATTTTCTGATGTGGTTAACATTGATTAAATTTCATTTTACAGTCTTTGTCGGGATTTAATTTATTTCTTTATTTCTTGGTGTCTTTGTTCAGAACCTGGTGGTTGGTCGGGCTGGTCAGTGTGGTCTCCCTGTAGCCGCTCTTGCGGAAGCGGAAGTAGCTCGAGGAGACGAACATGCACCGCACCCCCACCCTCCTATGGTGGGGCAGACTGTGTGGGAGGGAGTGAGGAAAGAAAGGCCTGCAAAGTGCAAGACTGCTGTAAGTAAAAACTAACCAAGAACTTCTTATAAGTTGCCTGTTTCCTTTGAACTAATGTGTCAGTTTCGTTTGCCCCTTGTTCAGACGATATGGAAAGTCAAGTAGTAGACGTGCTGTAATTTTGCAAAGAAAACAATTGTGATTTTTAGGCAAGAGATTTTTTGCCACCCTATCCTCTAACATTGCTAAGGACAAACCTTCTCGCTTACAAGGTAGCTCTACCCATTTGCTCAAAGGATATTTGGTAAAGAGCTCTGAGTAGGGTTAAAAAGGTTATTTTAATGGTTGACGTGAAATGCCGCTGATGACAGGGCGTTTGACTCTCTGTAGGTGAGATCCCCTACAAAGCTCTCGGCTGTTTCAGAGATAACCACAACTTGTATCGACCCTTACCTGATCAGCTGTTTAGCGATTCTCAAGAGGTTATCAACTTCAAGAGTTGGCCTAACTACCTGTCAGACGTCATTTGCAGGTAAACAAAATAAAGTTAAGTTAGTCTGACCACAGGGACAAACGCCGGGGTAATGAGGCACTGCTCATCACGACATTGGCCCAATGTTGAACTATACTGCGAGCAGTCCCTTATTTCTCTTTTGAATCACAGTAGACCGAGGGCATGCGCAAGGAGCGCGCGGTAAAGCTTCTATCTCTCCTCGTTTCGCTCGTCGCACGTGGATCTGAGGAATGAAGGACTACCGCTCGCGGTCTAATGTTGAACGGGAGTGGGGTTTTGGATCTCATCTGAGCATCTGTATACGGATGGTTTGAAAGACTGAATCAAACGGTTGAAGAAGACGTTCCGATAAGTCGAAATTTCTCGCTGTACTGAAAGTCTTTGCCCGGAGTCTTAAGTTTTCAGAATTTCTTGTATTCTCAATATCTCTATATTCCGTTAACCCGTAAAATTGTGAGGGGAAATTAGTTGCTTATATTTATTAGCGCTAAGTAGAACTTCGGTTGTACAGGTTGTACCTTAGCCCTAGAGAAAAGCCGACTTTTCGCAGAGCCACACTAACGGTTTCCCCACGAAATGACGCCTAAGAAACAAGCGCAGAAATTCGCTACTGATGACGTATAACCACCCTAATCTGGGTAGTGCTTTTGATTGGCTGAAAATTTCTTTCAACCAATCAGGGGCAACAGATTTTCTGGAATTTCTACACTCGTTTCTCAGACATTATTTCGAGGAGAAATCGTTGGTGGCACCGCGAAACAGCGGCTGTTTTCTCATGCTTGCTATGCCTAATCATTGGTGTGATTGTTAATTTAGATGCGCGCGAGAGACACAAAGGAAAGGCTGGAACACGTTTGGAGTACAAAACTACGGAGAATGTCTGTCTGGTGATCGAGCCATGGATACATACTCTGAAGAAGGAGAACAGCTGTTGTTTATGGCGCCCTCTCAGCCCAAGCCACTGCTTGGATGCGTGGATAATGAGATGAGAGACTGCACGGGAAATAATCTAGAGTGCGCTGGACAAGAGAATTCCAACTATGTGTTCTCTCTTGATGATGGTAAGTTAACTATGTATAATCAAGTATCATTTGGTTGCTTGACTCTAGAACAGATCGTAACATTGGCAACTTAGAGAACTGTTTAAGAGTAAATGTAAATTGTATTATATAATATTGTGACAACTAAGAAGTGAAAAACGCTACAAATTCTTCTGAACTACAAAGCTATGATTGAACTCACGACCACTGCATTTGATCTACTTGCTCACACATGCACTTGTTACACGCTGCTAAAGAAGCGTCATTCAAATTATATATTTATTACAGGTTCACTCCACTGCATTACAAGCAAATAATGAAATGAAATAAGCTAACACTACTATAAGAAAAAAGAAAAAAAAAGTTGTGGAGAAGGAGACAACCAAAAGCACCAATGCGCCCTACTAGGGATGTCCCTAGACAGGCAGAGTATGTGTAGTCACTGCAGGTTACTGTAGAAGCGTCGGAACTCCCCGAAGCTTTTAACATCTTTTTTGACCAGCTTGTCCCTGCTCAATCCAGGTTAACTCCTCGTTTTCCCTACCGGTCACCAGTGTAGGAGCTGCTCGCAAAGTCTCCTCTAATTGGTCGCAGGAAGCAATAACATGTCATTCTTCCAATTGTTTTAGTATTGTTTGGGGTCAGGGAAACGCACCATTGGTGACTTCTCTTCCGAGCAGCTGCCACATGACCCTTAATTTACACCAGCTTTATTTTCTCGCAGTGAAAGCTGTTCAAGGCAACTACACAGAATGGAGTGTGTGGAGCGATTGTTCCACCACGTGCGGGCGTGGCGAGAAGTTCCGAACTCGTAACTGTACCAATCCCCCTCCGGCGTTTGGCGGTATGGACTGTTCGTTTATTGGAATGGATAGAGATGTGCAGAAATGCGAGATGACACCGTGTGCTGGTACGTATCGTGGGTTGCCTGTGCAGCACTTAACCATATATTGAAACTTGCCCAATGAGAAAAGAGCTATGGAGGTGCTATTAATTTGCTCTTAAAAGGGTAGCTAGTCAAGTCAATTGGAAATCTCAGTGTTGTGTCACCCGAGATTTACGCTAAGGCACGTAGCCGAGTAGCCTTGAAGGCCCCTGAAATATTTGTGAATGAGCGTGGAAAGGAATTGTTCGCGTAGCCATGTTATCTATTGAAACAACTTTAAATAAATTTCAGCTGATGTAGTTCCGGTCAACTCAGCTGTAAATGATAGTTATCTACAGCTTTTTTTTTTTTTTATAAAGAATCACCCTTTCTGAAGGCATTCAAGTTAACTGAAAACATCTTGTGCAGTTTATGTAGAAGTAATACGGTTATAAAGTAGTTAACAGACGTTGCTCGCATATTCTGCCAGGCTTAGGGGTACAGTCTACCAAAACACTGAATATGGTGGATGTATACAATCTACGCACTATTTGAAAGAGAGTAGAGCTTTAGAGGTTATTTCGTTGGACTCAGTCGTCTTGAATCCTTAATAATCGTCACTAATTTAGCGATGAGCATCCATGGCAGAGCTGAACTCCCTTTTAACCGCTACTTTTCTCCTTATAGTTGACGGAAACTGGGCTCAATGGGGTAACTGGAGCACGTGCTCAGCCACGTGTGGTCACGGTAAAGTGTACAGGAGACGCACGTGCGATAGCCCCGCGCCTTCCAATGGCGGGAAACCATGCGCAGGCTTAGGACACGAATCAGCAGAGTGCCGAATGACGTCATGCCCCGGTATGTTGGAATACGCTTTGAGATTAGAATACCTCTTTTTTGTTCCAGGAATGGATGAGTGTAGTCAGTGGTAATATGATCAAACAAGTGAAAAGAAAAAAACTTAAATACTGGCATCGAGTTTTACTGCCTGCTCAAAACTTGTGATGTCTCAAGAATATGCGCAGATTTAGTGAAATAAGTCCGTCGAGGCCCTGCGAAAGAATCGTTTCGGACCATTGTCGGACATTTCCGAAGTTTACCAAGTAAGATGGAATATAACCCAGGAGCTCCATAATTCTTACCGAAAGAGAGGCAACTGCCTTTATTGATTAAAGATTGTTTTTCTTATTGCGGGTTGACAATCAAGGAAATTTCATCAGACTTCTTTGTTCGAAACATATCAAAAAATGTTTGCCAAATTTAGGGAGAAGTTTGTCGAAAATCGTGTTGGTAATGTTTTAACGAATTACTTATCTCTGCGTTTGAATTTGTTTTTAGTGGACGGCCGCTGGTCCGGCTGGAGTGCATGGAGCCCGTGCTCGGTCACTTGTGGTAATGGCCGTCAAGAACGCACGCGTAGGTGTGACACCCCAGTTCCGGAGTATGGTGGAAAGTTCTGCGACGGACCTGCTAAAGAGTACCACAACTGTGAGGAGGACGATTGCCCAGGTAACTTCACAGTCACTGTGCCCTTTGTTGAGTTAGATGAGGTTGATTTAAGATCGAAAAACAAGTTGATTTAAGAACAGGTGTTGTTAAGTCTTTCACGAGACACTATGCCGGTGAATTTTCAGGGATCGAAAAAAATTCCGTCCGTTGCTGGGTAAGTAATTTCAGAGCTTACTAAGCCAGGGGTCCAGGCAAGTCACCCTCTAACCAAACCATGATTTAGGCGAGCAAGTGTCCTCAGGCAAGCAAAATTTGGGAGCTGCTTGCCCACGGGACAAGCTGGAATTCAAGTCTTTTTAGCCTTGGATTTTACTAGCCTCAGAAAACCGCCGACATTTCGCGACCACACTACGGGTTTCCGTGCGAAATGACGTCTGAGAAACGAACGCAGAAATTCCATACTGATGACGCGTCACTACCCAGATCTGGGTAGTGCTTCTGATTGGTTGAAGAAAATTTTTAGCCAGTAAGAAGCACTACTTAGATCTGGGTATTGACGCGTCATCAGTATGGAATTTCTGGGCTTGTTTCTCAGACGTCATTTCGCACGGAAAGCCGTGGTGGAATCGCGAAAAGTCGGTTGTTTTCTCAGGCTAGGATTTTACGTTTTTTTTTTAAAAAAAAAAGCTTGGAAAGGACTAGCCTCCGACTTCTTAGGACAATATTGCCCATTAAGGTTTTCGTTCCCTGGCTTTTTTATTTGTTAATGGACAAACAAGGACCAATTTTATTTGAAGAGTTGCAAAGTATTTCATTGTTACCCATTTCCTTTCTGCAGGTTTTTGGAGCGACTGGTCAGCCTGGAGCGTTTGTTCTAAGAGCTGTGGAAGTGGTGGAAGGCGAAGCAGAACACGAACTTGTCAAGGAGGAGCTACTTGCGAGGGCTCAGCGCGCGAAATTGAAGTCTGTAAACTGCAGGATTGTCCGGGTGAGTGATATTAGCAAGACCTTAACAAGCGTGGCACGTAATGCCTTTGCATTTTTGGAGCTTCCTGTGGAAGTCTAATCCGTATGGCGTTCTTTGTCATTTGTTAAACCCTCAAACAGACTGATGGCTGATCAGCCAACAGCATGTAGCGCTGGGTGGTCGCAGGCCATAAAACCGAATTTTTCCGAATAACATACGTCGAATGCGGAGAAGGTTTTGATTGATCGTTTTGATTGTGGAGCCCAAGTGTAAAAAAAGTATCTTGTTGAGTCTCTTGTCTTTGTTTTATAGCTTGTCGCAAGTCCATTGACCTTGCCTTCATTTTGGACGCTTCGGGAACGGTAGATGACTCACAGTGGAAACTGACCAAAGATTTTGTCCATGGAGTCAGTAACGGATTCCGCCTGGCCTCCAATGGAACCCGAATCTCTATCATCTCTTACTCTACGTTGCCTCACATTGAAAGAAGATTCGACGACAGAAACGAAAACGATAACATGGCTGACTTCCTTGAGTCAATGTCTCAGCCACGTGGTGAAACGCGCACTGACCGCGCCCTGAAATTGGCGCGAGACGAATTAATAACCTCTGAAGGCGGAGCACGCGATTATACACCCAAGGCGATTGTCCTAGTGACTGATGGAGGGGATAACCCTGACACCACGGCCAACTTTGCTGAGCAACGCGCGCGGGAGCTCAAAGACATGGATGGTGCAACAATTGTTGCGATAGGAGTGGGAGACAAGGTAGACCAGTACGAGCTAAGGCAGCTGGCCACAGATCCAGATCACGCATTCCTGGTGACGTCTTATGACGACATCATCGGTTACGTCAAATCAGCGGCTGATGCAGTTTGTACAGGTGAGTGAAGTTATTTTTACTATCTGTCTTTCATGCTCTATCAAAGGCCATGAAAAGTGATAATTAGAATTCGGCTTTAAGAGCGCTTCTTCAAGCCACGTTAGTAATTTCCCTCTGTTTATAATGTACAATTATAATGTATAATCTATTGAACGTATGTATTCAAAATAGTTATTTAAACATGGCACATCGTCTTAAGCAATTTTATTGTTTTTCTTTTGCAGCAAAACCACCTCCACCACCTCGTAAGTGTGTTATATATTTTTCTTATAATTCTTCTTATTATTCTCTGAGTTCTCGTCACGCATTTGATTATTTTGATTCTGTTGTGACCTTCAAGATGGAATTTGGTTTGGGTTCTGGACAATCTTAATTATCATAATTTTCCTCCACAGCTCGTTGGGGCGCATGGACAGAGTGGAGTCCGTGCATGAAGACTTGTGGCACAGGTGTCAGCTTGAGATCACGTGAATGCCTGACTGGGGCTAACTGCAGGGGATCTGGTACCGAGACAAAAAAATGCAAGATTCAGGATTGCCCATGTAAGTATTAAGACAGAATCCATCAGGAAATTGCGTAATTTTAATTCTCAATGGACAAAAACCTTGTACCAGAATAATTTAAAGCATATTGCATTCTTTTTTAGATGTAATTAGTTATATGTAATAACACGAAAGAAAATTTCTCATGGGAACCCGAGAAAATAAATGTTAAATTTCATAAAATGACATCTTACACATGAAATTTTCACAATTAACAATTCTTGTGAAATTTGACATTTATTTTTTTGTAATTCCTAGTTTACAAAAGAAAAATATAGTGCGTTCGTTTTAATAAAAAGAAACAAGGTTAAATGGTTTTGATCTAAAAATATCAGAGGGGGAAGAGTAGAAGCTCGCATCTCTCTTTAGCAGACAGTTTTCCCGGTCCTATATGAAATATTCTATGCGCCTTTTAATTCCTCAGTAGTTGTTTTTTGGCACAGTGTTCTCAGCGACACCGACAATTGATGTTCTTGAACTTGTGTTTGTAGCTTGCCAGATTGCAACAGACCTGGCTTTCGTCCTGCCAGTTTCCTCCAAAATCAATGACACCGAATGGCGTGAGGTTCAGAACTTTGCCAAGGGCGTGGCCAACGCCTTTAACATCTCGTACCACGGGACCCACGTGGGTGTCTTGTCATACTCGTCCCAGGCCACCATGGAGATGAAGTTCAACCGATATTTCTACCCAACGGATGTATTGAACGCGATTGATAACATCTACCCGGAGGCTAAGAGCTACCAGGGAACACGCATGGACGACGCCTTGGAAATAGCCAATTACGAGCTGTTTACCCCCACTGGAGGGTCACGTGATCAGATCACCAAGACCATGATCGTGGTGGTCTCAGACCGTTTGGGCGGTGAAAAGTCGCCAGCAATTCTGAGAAGACTCAGGTACGCCGGCGTCACGCCTGTTGTCATTGGCGTTGGCCCGGATGTCAAGAATGATGATTTGTTGAAGATAGCTGACCGGAATCACACGTTCTTCGTTAATTCGTTCAATGATCTTATAACAGTGGCTGAGAAAGTTGTTAAAAGTGCCTGCAATGGTGAGTGACACAGTGAAGTAAGCGGTCCTCCCCGGGGCGTCCCTGCACTGAAAACTCAAAAATTCTTTTTTTTTTCCCCTTGAATCTATATAACTAAAGATGAGAAATGCTGTTTTGGTTACCGACAAAAATGTAGGATTCCACTACACGCTGTCTTTCTTATGTACTATTTTCATTCTGGCAGTTAGCTTCGCTATTACGCGGTCCCCACTTTAAGCGGACACCCAGTACTAAGCAGACGAGTAACTCAGTGTGTTTCAGGCGTTTGTTTCCATATTCTAAGTAAAACGAACCTTTATTCAGCGGACATCTCTATTAAACGGACACCAGCGAAGCTCCCGTTGGCATTCGTCTACGAACCCTGGATACAGTGAAACCTGTATGACGCGTTTTGAAAACCTTTGAAAACCCTTGAAAACCCTTGAATTTTAAGAGTTCTTTTTCAAGGCCTTGAAACTCCTTGAAATTCTCTTTCGTTCGTTTTGGTCCTTGAAAGTCATGGAATTTTAATCGAAGAACATTTGATAAGAAGCATCGTCACTATTATTGTCTTGTTCATTACGGAAGCTAATTCTTTGATAAGCACTCACAAACGAATTTTCATTAAAAAATGGTTGCCATTAATTAGAAGAAAGGCCCATTGTTATCAGAATATTTTATAGTTTATTTGGAACCTCGGTTAATAGTAATAAATTGAAATTTAAAAATGTGGTCCTTGAAAGTCCTTGAAAAGTCCTTGAATTTTACGGCAGAAAAAGTGTACGAACCGTGTGTATCTCTCCAAGGGGGACGTTTCAACGTCATGTAACATTTTATGTATTTTGTTTTGTTTTGTTTTGTTTTTTTTTTTACACAGTACCAAATTATCTTCGCAAGATGTGGGACGAAGAGGCTCACAAGGAACGTCTCAGAGAACAGGCTGCTGCTCATCGAAAGAAAGTGCTGTCTCCAACACACCAAGGAGTGACCGCGATACCACTTACACCGGGTCAACAGGCTACAGTAGGCTACGTGCAGGAACCTGCCGTAACTCCTGCTAGTCAAGCTGTAACATCGCAACCGGTTAACAGGAATGTTACGTCGGAACAGCAATCGGTTGAGCAGGAAACTGTGACTCAACCGAATTACTCCAAGGTGTCGCTGCCTCAACAACCGGAGCAGCCAAACGCACAAATAGCAGCGCAAGTCGAACCGGGTCCGCTAGCACAAACAGTGCAACCGGTCCAACCAACCCAACCAGAACAGGCAGCGTATCCAGCGCAGCAAGTTTATTCCAATGCTTCAGAAGGTCCCCAACCAGTACAACCTGTCACAGTAGTGCCTGAACCAGTGTACTCTAATGCGTCGTTTCCTGAACAACCCGTACAGCAACCAGCCCAACCAGCGCAGCAGGTTTATTCCAACGCAACGGTAGCTCAACAACCGACGCAACCGGTTTACTCTAACGCGTCATTGCCGCAACAACCCGTTCAACCAGTACAGCTAGCCCAACCAGCTCAGGCGTTTTATTCCAATAACACTGTAGGCCAAGAACCTGTTTATTCAAACGCCACGCCCAGTCTTCAACCGGTGGAACAAGGCTGGTCGAATGTCACGTCAGCTCAACAATCTGGTTACGCTGTTCCAGAAGCGCAGCAACCAGTTTACGCGAACGCCTCTGTGTCACCGCAAACACCTGCGATAGAGTATGACAATGTCAGTGCTCCTGGAATGGTTTATCCTGGTGAATCATCCCCTCTAGCATCACAAGGTTTGATTTCAAACGTTAGTGCGCCTTACACACCACCACAGAGCAACCAGACTATTATTCCCTCAGCTGGTCAAGAAGCCATTCCTGGGCCTGCTCAAGTAGGACCAGCCGCTGAAGCAAATGCTTCAATTCCGCAGGCTCAAGCGCCTACCTTTCAACCTCAACCCACTGTTGCAGTCGCTCCCGCGCCTGTACAGAACGAAACCGCTGGCCAAACAATGCCTTCAGCTGCCGTTGCTACTGGTACACCTGCCCCTGCATTAGCGACCGCTGCCCAACAACCGGCGCCTGCTCAAGCGAATAATACTTTACAGTCCCCTGAAGTTGGTATCCAAGGTAGGAAGCCATTCTTAGAGACCTTAAGATTGAGGTTTGGTCATTTTACTTCAGGCGACAAACTGCGGTTTGCAGTTAACGGTTTCACGTTACCCGTGTGCCCATATTTGGGACTTAAGATTCGCGGGTGGTAGCTCGCGGCTGCCATGTTTGTTTTCATTTATCCACTTACTTCCATTTCAGCTGAGAAATTGTCTTCAAAATTATGTGTTTTGAAATAGAATTCGATAATCAAAGAAGTCGTACTTCTTCTCAAACGTGGGATTGTAATGTTTTAAGGGTGCAAAAAACCTTACGGTGAATCACTTACCTCTTGAGCGTGACCTAGCCGTACAAACGTGAACCTTAAACCGCAAACTTGACGGCAAGGCCCTGGTCACGTGACTTCTTGACGTTCACGTTTCGCGGGAAATGCCGAAAAACCTCAATGTTAAGGTCTCTATTTCGTTTATCTTAGTGTGGGAGATCAGTTGAATAGTATACCGTAAAATTCCGAAAATAAGCCCCCCCAAACTCGTAACGCAAAAAACCCTCCGTTAAATCGCCCCTCCAAATATAAGCCCCCCGGGGACTTGTACCTGGAAATTGCCTTCAAATACAAAGTAAAACAAAGCAATAACGGTACATTATACGGACAGATGCTCCTGCCCCTTTGTTTACACATTAAGGGGTTTTCAATGTTTCCTTGTTTCTGTTGATAGGCAAACAATTTGCATTCATGTTAATCACCTACTGAGACGTTAATCTTTTCTTTTGTGCAGCTCCGGTCGCGGTTCCTCCGGTAACCTTCACTGTTCAACCTTTCGGTAAGTGTGTTCCCGTTTCATTACGTAGCTTACATGAATCTTTGTTGCCTGAAATTCGTTTGCTGTAAAACAAAACAAAAAAATACAACAAGGCAAAGTAGACACAATCCAGCTTGTCTACTAGCTACGTGGATGAACAAAGCCAAGATGGCAAAGCCCACTTCGTAATCATCACCTAACTTCTTCTAATATAAATTCCTCCGGGTTTCTCTTATACAAAGGCGTCCATTTCATTCTGGGAACAAAGATTTCAATTAACAAAATAACTGAAGATTAAATCTTAAAACGCTTTGTTTTATTTCAACAGCATGTTCACAAGGCTTGGATATTGTATTCGCTCTTGATTCGTCCAGTGACGTGGCTGAGGACCAGTGGAAAGAACAGAAAGACTTCATGAAAAAGATAGCGGAAGGTTTCCAAATTCAGGAGGATGGTACCCACGCTGGAGTATTGGCTTATTCCACCATACCCTCCATAAGTATGAAACTTGGGGAACGAAACGCTAGGCAGGAACTTGATAAGGCTTTAGATGACTTGCCGCGTGACCCCGGTAACAGAAACTTGGTACGTAATCTGCTTAGCACTTTGTAAGTGTTTCTAACAGATTGCTTGGAAGATGTCAAGGTTTCAACGTTCCTCAGTATATACAGGAATGTTACGTCATTTTAGTCTTGCAAGGCCCCTTGAAAAGGTTTTTAAAGTTTCTCCTCTCATTTTCCTGATCAGCGGTTGATACGATCGATCCTAACTTTCAAATGGTAGGAACTCTACATAGAGACTTGGGGTACTTACCAGTTACATGAGAAAACCGGAAACTTCGGTTGGAGAATCAAATGGTTCGCGCTATTCCGTTTGGAAAACTATAGAAAATACGGGCCGCGATAAGAGGCAAATCTATCTTTCCGTGCTTTTTAGTCTGTTCAGTTTAATTAGATATACTCTCTCTCACCGTGTCAAATTTTATAGTGTTATGTTTATACACAAGATTTCCACCCTGGTGGTCTGATATCTCCAGTTGAATGTGCGCAACTAATGACGTTCCTCGCCCTGATTTTATGTCCATTTTCAGGTTATTTTGTTAGAGATGGCCAGATTTGAAGTGTTCACCAAGTCCGGTGGAATGAGAATGCATAAACCTAAGGCCCTTGTCATCACAGTGCTTGGACCCCAAAATGACCACAACACTAACGCTGCCAAGAGCCTCAAATCGTTCGCTAAACAGCTTGAAATTAGCGGCGTAAAGGTCAGTAAAAAATAAAGAGCAGTTTAAGAGAGGAATAAGTCTGAAGACGGCTCTAACAGTTCAGTTTGCTCTTGAAACCTCATAAGCTACTGAGCTACACTTTCTAGTGGTATCGTTTACTTATTAATGGTGGCTTTTGAAATTGGGGTGCAGATCTGTTATGGAAGTCCTGACGTTTGGCCATTCTACGGTGGCTCGTGGGGACAAAACACGTCCCAGAATCCAAAAACACTTCCCAGAATCTAAAAATACTTCCCAGAATCCAAACACGTCCCAGAATCCAAAAACACTTCCCAGAATTCAAAAACACTTCCAAGAATCCACCACACGTCCCAGAATCCAAAACACTTTTGGATTCTGGGAAGTGTTTTGGATTCTGTGACGTGTTTTTGGATTCTGGGAAGTGTTTTAGATTCTGGGAAGTGTTTTGGATTCTGTGACGTGTTTTTGGATTCTGGGAAGTGTTTTTGGATTCTGGGAAGTGTTTTGGATTCTGGGAAGTGTTTTTGGATTCTGGGAAGTGTTTAAGATTCTGGGAAGTGTTTTGTCCCTATGAGCCACTGTACCATTCAGTTAAAACCTTTGGTCCTACTGAGCTCTTCTTTTCTGCGGCGCTGTTCTGTCTAGTGTGCTGTACAAACTGGTGTTAACCATTGAGTCTGGCCGATAAAATCCTAAAGTGCCGCCTTTCAAATGAAAGCTATTGAGTGGTGTTCACCTGTGGAAAAAGCTAGGGTAGTACGTTCATGTTTTTTACAATGGCTCTACCCTCGAAGTCTATTATCTATAGCGTGAACTAGGTGATAAAGCTCGCTGCTCTAAAAATAAATGAGACTTTTCCTGACTTTCTGTGTCATTTCGTTTTAGGTCGTAGCTGTAGGAAGCCCGAACATTGATGAAAAGGATCTACAAAGTATGACCACAGATCCTAAATACGCCGTACGAGTTAACGATCTGAGGTCCCCGGCAGAGGCTGGAAAGGTCTCCAAAATCATCTGTAATGGTAAGCGATCGCACTCGAGACCTTGGGTTCGTGAGCGTGCTTATAACAGTTTTTTAACAAACCCAGTACAAAAGCATTTTATCGCCTTTGACGAGTATCAGATGTAAAATTAAAAAGTTAACTCATTTTCGATACATTCGCGAAGATGTTATTCCATGTATAGAGGCGTAGCTTGGTTCTGTTTGCGTGTCAAGTATTTTTCGATTTTAGCACTATTTCGTAGAATGGAGGATTTAGTTTTCATGTGCGACCTGAAGTTTTAATTCTGAAATAAAACGGATTTCCCATTCCTTTTCAAGTGGCTGCGGAGTACCCCTCTTCAGAAGTGAGTCACTTGGCAGCAGCAAAGCCAGTACAAGTACCACTCTCTGACCAAGTGCAACCTGCACAACCAGCGGCTTCAACTGCTCCCCAGGCTCCAGCGCAAACGCCTCCTCAGGCCCCAGTACAGACTGCTCCCCAGGCTCCAGCACAGGCTGCTCCCCAGGCTCCGGAACAGACTCCTGCCCAGGTCCCAGCTCATAATGCATCGGCTGTACCTCAAACTAATCCCGCTCAAGAAAGAAAAGGTACATACTTTGTATATTGGTATCTATAAACGCTTGCCACCGTATAAGGACCTTTTCATCCTTAGTTGAAAACTTTTTTGGTACGGAGATAGCAGTTTGAAATGCAAAATAGGAGATAAATCCTTTGAGCCCAAATGGTGGTCGTTAACATAAAAGTTATCCTACTAAGTATAGCATATATATAACACAAAAATCATGAGAAAAAAATGATTGTTACTGCTACTTGTTGTTGCTGTGGTTGTGATTTACCAAGTTATTGCTGACCAAAAATTTTTTTTGTAGAATATCCCTTCACGTGTCAACCGGTGCTGTACTACGACTTCGATAAGATATGCGCTGGAGAAATATTTGACGAGTCAGGTTCGGGAAATAACGGGATGTCCCGCGGGAGTGTCGTCGTCGAGGCTGGATACAACGAAGACAATGGGGTGGATTTGTCTGATGGGTTCATACAATTGGACGGAAACAACTTCAAGGTGGATAATAACTTTGACATGTGTAGTTTTAGTGTATTCTATACTTAACCTACCCTGAAGAGGTTAAATCTAAGAGAAACAACGATAATTATGAGAGAAATTGCACCAAAGTTCAATCGTGTTGATGCTCAATAAACTTCGTCTTCGACTGTTCCGTCAAGAAATACGTTATTATTCACAATTATTGAATGAGGCTGGGTATCATCTGAAGAATTATGGAGATCGAGGAGGGTGTTCGGCGTTTAACACCATGCAACTTGATAAATTTCTTGCGAACGACAAAATTACAGCTTCGTATGAAATAAATGTCTCCAACCCATTATATCAAACGTTTTAAGCAACAAAAGTGAACTTTGAAAATATGTTAGCCTAACAAGGTTTCAAAACCCCACAATTTTAATCCGTTTCAATCTTCCTCAAGTTGGTCCATCCGTGCGTACTTTTGTATTTTCTTTGTTATTTATACCTTTTTTGGATGTTTTAAGAGGTTTTTTTTTTGTTTCACTTAATTTGCTGGCAGTTCCCAGACTTTGCATTTTGCCAAATTTCGTGACACAGCCCAATCAGTGGCGGATCCAGACCTTAAGATAAGGGGGTAGGGCGGGGGGTCTCAAAAGTATTTTTTTTCGGCCCTTAGGGTCTCAGCTTGGTCTAATAATAGGGGGTGCTGGGGCCCCCCAGCCCCTCCCCTGGATCCGCCACTGTCTATGTTGTTCTGACGCTGTGGTCTTTACTGTTTGCAGGGTAAACCAACCTTAGGCGTTACCATAGCAACATGGGTCAAAGCCAAGAACTTAACAGGCCCGAATGTAAACGAGATCTTCGTGACGGCGGCGCCGGGTGTCGCAGGCCCCACTAAGCAAGGAGAGTACCACTTTGAAATCCTCGACAAAGGCAGGGTGCGGTTCTTTCAGCGAAATAACGGCAAGACGGTGTACGGGCGCACGACGAAGGAGACAATTCCACTGAATACCTGGGTACACCTGGCAGGAATTTACAATCCAAACAGCAAACAGGCCTTGATTTACATAAATGGCCACCCGGTTTTAGATTATGAGCAGACAGAGCCGCATGAGACTGATTCCCTCAGCACAGATTGGAGTAAAGGTGCCTTTATTGGCTCATTCACCGATGACCTTGGAACTTCGCGCCAGTTCAAGGGGGCCTTGGACGAGTTTTACATGTTCCCATGCGCCCTCACGGGTCAACAGATTGTGAAGCTTAGAGACACACATAAAATGCGTAAGTTTATGCTTGACTGTTGTGTTAAGACTCAATTTCCATACGTATACGAACAGGGAAAGATTTGGGTTTATTTTAAAATGTAAGGTGTTAATGAGATTAACTGTCTGATATTTTGCGAATACGTATACGAAAAGATTGGCTTATTTTAGCGGTATTAGGCTTATATAAGTCAACTTTTCAACATTTTCTGATAAGAATGACAATTTTTTTCTTATATGAATAATTATTAATAACATTATAGTTTAACTCCAAGTGAGGACTGCAGAGGTAAAAACGGACTGGTTGTGTTAACGACGTTGTAAAGTAATGATTCCGGAATGAGTTTCGTGCTAGAGTGAAGCTCGTACTGCACTCACATGATAAAATCGACCGGCTTTGTCTAAGGCGTTCTCGCTCGGGTGGTTTTTCGCGCCAGGTCAGATACGCATGCGCCATTCGCCCCAGACAACACGATTTGCGATTTTCAATCAGCAACGAAGTTCGTTTTCAGTTTACGTGATACTCAGAATTAAATTTCGTACTAGAACGAGAATTTCGTTGAAAACCGTGACGAACACATTCCGGAATGAATCGTACGGGAACGATTTCAGTTGTTTCGGTATCATGTCAACAGATGCAGAGCATTGTATATATGGAGATGGAATGAACTCGTTCCAGAATGAAAGTCATTCCGCTATCATGTGATTAGCCCCCAAGTTCAGACCCGAAAATAGTGGTAGTAAAAATAGAGTCGTACATCGAGGGGTTCGACTGCACCAGCTGCTGACTGTACAAAAATTGTGTCCCTCTATCCCATTACAGCTAGGTACGTAGGACCCTACCCTGGTGTACAGCGTGAGGTATGGCGTGGAGTCCAAGGAACCACAGTAACCGACCTAGTCCTTTCCCATGACTACCCTAACAAACCCACTGAAACGACCGTTGTTCCGGACTTTGACGCGCCTAAAAACGAGGGCGACGACTATGGTTCCCGAATGCGAGGGTACTTTGTGGCGCCTTATACGGGAACTTACTCATTCTCTGTGTCTGGCAACGACCAAGCGGAGTTGTACTTCAGTGGCTCTTCGCGCGAGAAGGACAAGGATTTATTTGCGGTTGTGCATGGAACTGGGCACAATGACTTTGCGGAGTAAGTATTGCGTTCTTGAATGTGCAAGCACTTACTAGCTTTCGAAGAAAACTACATTTTTGAAAAAATTGTTTTCGGCCCGGTTTCTCGAAGGCCAGGTGTTGCTTAATTTTTTTTCCTGATAGATTGTTTTTGACTTTCATCGTTTATTATTCTTATAGGAATGCGTTTAGTAAATTTTATTAAATTTCATGGCGAGGGGACATCGATAAACTGCCAGGTTCATATTTGTCCGTTCCCTGGAATTGAACCCGCTCTGGAGTTAAGGGCTCTACCAACTGAACTAGTCCTGCCGCCATTTAAGCGAACACACTGAGAAGTTAACAACAAATCTGGCTTCTTTGTGGGAAAATATAGTATTTCAAAGAAAATAGCCTTTAACTGCACTTCTGATCTTCATTGTGTTTCTCCTAGCATGCCGTACCAACATTCAGGGTACATTCCTTTGGAGGCTGGGAAGTATTACTGGATTGAGGCCCTCCATAAGGAAGGCCAAAGGAGGGATTCCCTCTCCGTGGGCTACACCCTGGAGTGTCCCAATACGTCACCAGTGCTTTCCGAGACACCCATACTGAAACCAAGTCTTCAGTATAAGATACCAAGTAAGTTAAAGTTAGAAAAGTTGCAAAACGTCGGTGTGCTAACATCAGACCTGGCTAAATTGTTGCCAAGCAGAAATATAATAGATTTGAAGGTTCATACGATGGGACTTTTATATTTTTCTGTCTAAAAAGTTGACCCAATTTTTTGAAGTTGTAATTCATTTCCATCCTGGTGACCGCAAGCAGAAGACACTCTTTGTAGTTAAGGTGGAATACCTCTCTTTCCTCCGCAGAAGCTCCGGCTAACAAAAACAGCAAAAAAATAATAATAAAAAAATATATCACGCGCCACGCGCGCTTTCTTTGGGCTCTCTCCAGCCCCCTCGTGACACAAAGAGGCCTCTTTTCGAAAAGCCTAGTGGTATGGGCATCCCCTGTAACCCTAAGCCTAACCCTAACCCAAATCGCTAAGTTATTATGAGAAGGGGATGCCCATATCACTAGGGTTTTTGGGAATGGGGATGCCCAAAAGGTGGGAATGCCCATATCACTGTAACACCTCTTCGGAAAAGCGAGGTGGGGCTCACTCTGTGTAAAGAACTTTCAAAAACTCGTCACACAGCTCCTTTCAATACACTCAGTGTTTCATACACCCTAGGTTTTAACGACTAAACATAACCCCATTGATACCTTCTTTATAGTTAGGTAACCGAGCGTTTTGTCTTATCTAGGGAGCTGTGCCGAGGTCAAGAAAATGTGGCCAGGCTTCAAAGACGACGAGTACGTCATTCAAATGAGTAGTTCTTGTGATCCAGTACGACTGTACTGTCACGGAATGAACACTGCCACTCCCCGTGAGTACATCACTCTGCCAGCAGGACCTGACAAAAACTTCGCCAGTTTTCACAGGGGTAGGCTGCTCAACTTTGAGACCTGCTCGGGCTCAATCAACCCTGAACCAATGCTGACCGCGAATTACTGGGGAACAACAAGGTATAGAAAGAAAACTGTCACTTTTTTTGTCCCATACATTTGTCTTGACCGTTTCATCTTTCTCGACACTTTTGTTATTAGCAGTCTTGGTTTGCAGGCTGTTTGTTTGTTTGTTTACATACATGCATACATACATACTTTTATTCAGAGCATTTAAAAACAAAGATAAATATTATACCAATAATGCTTTGAAAAGGGAGTTTAAGATGATACTGTAGTTCGAATCGATTGTCAACACAGACCATAGTTAATAGAGAAGACTGGTTATGAAAGGCGGAAAACATCAAAGATAGACACAATGGGTGCTGCAGTTACACCAACCTTTTTGTTGTTGTTGTTGTTGCTCACGAATTGTGATGGAGTAAAATAATGCGACACTTTTGTTGGTCAGTAAGATCAAAATGTTAGGAATGCTATTGAATCTTTTACATCGTCAAGTCTACGAAAACAAATAACCAAGAAGTCTGACGGGTTTCACAACCATTCCACTCTATTAACTATGCCCAAATGGAAAAAACAAGATGAAAGTTGGAATATCTTTTAAAACGTAACCCATATTTAATTCGGTAATTTAGATGTAGTGTAACTCTTTTGCTGATCTTGACGCTCAAATTCTTTTCAGGTTTAACAAACTCCGCATCGATCCTACATCGGGTCTTGTACACAGAAATGATTACCAGTTCGCCAAGACAGAGGGTAACCCGGTCAGATTTGGTCGCGCGGGAGACTGCTTCTCAGCGGCCTCCAAATGCCACAAGGGTAAATTCCAAATTGATTTGTCAGGCACGGGAATGCGCATGCGTAGGGATGTAGAGTGGGAGGCCTGGGGTACGCCTAAGCTTCCAAAGCGGCTGCTTAATGTTCAAAAGACCGATGATGGGCTGTCTGTGGTTGGAGAGTGCGGTGGATCGTGTGGAGGTTGCCAGCCTTCGCAAGAAAGAATGTACGTGGAACCAGCTAAATGCATCGACCGACAAAGCACCGGTACGGCTTTCTTTGTAGCTTGTTTATTTTATTTATTTATTTTTTTACTACAGTTAATTGTTATTATCACATCCCATAAAGCAGTTACAACGTTCTTGCTGACAAACTACTACAAAGCTTTCAAAGTCGGATTCGTAATTTAAGAGTTCAGATTGTCTGGTTTAAAACACAGGCTCGCGGAAAACCCAAAAGGTAAACCAGGAACTGAACAGATGGTGATGATAACGTGGAGTAAACATAGCAAGACGAATGAACCTCAAAGGGTGTTGGTCCTTCGCTTTTACAAATTACACACCCTAAACAAGTCCGTTACCGGAGTCCGGGTTGGCTAAATGGTCAGTTAAGCCGCTCCTGACTTGTTCCTTCCTGAAAGTGGCTAAATGCAAAATCTCTCTTGTGAAAACGAGTTTTATTTGCATGGGAATAGAACATCATTTTTATACCATTAGCTTCGCAGTTAGCCTCGCCTTGAAACAGAGGCTCGGGGCATCTCGGAAGTAGCCTTTAGAAATAACTCAATGGAACCTTGTTCGACGACGGTTCAGCTTTCGTGCAGCTGCAACTCTAACTTTTTGAATCACAAAAGGAAAAAAACACCTAAAAACCGCCAGCTACGTAGGCAAGCTCAATAGTGGTGACCTCGCAAGACTGGGTCGGTGTTGTGTCGAACTGCCTTATGGAAATATTTTGGGGGGACGAATTGTGGAACCAATTTCCTGCACAACTGTCATAGCCAACAAAGTAAATGATAGCGTCCACAAAACAGTCCAGTTCACGTTTGACTCTATTTTCTTTATGTCTTTCAGAAGCCGTAGCTCGACACTCTATACCGAAGCATCATGCTTCAAAATCCGATGTAAAAGGCACGAAGAAATCCTTCGTTAAGGTCCCTGAAAAAGTGCACATTCGCTCCAAGATTCCTTATCCTCACAAGAAGACTTTCTTCAAAGCAGGCCCAGGCCTCGAAGATAGCGAGATGGAGGTCATTGGTCACGTGACAAAAAAGAGAAAGCGAAGCGAATCAAAAAAGAGGAAGAAGAGAAAGCGACATCTTAACGTGGAGACCGTTGGCCGATAGAGTTTAGATCTTTGTTTAAATTCGAGTTCAGTGTGAGGGACACGACTATTTGTAGCTGCCATACCTTTAGTCAGCTACGTTTACAGTTTAGGTTTACAATGTACAAAAGTGTGTTGTTGTTGGAGCCGAGTAAATGATGTCGATAGGGGTTGATGCAAGCAGTAGTGGATCTCAGATCCCTCCACTGTTTGCAGAAAATATTATTTTAAGAGAAAAGTAAAATAACGAGGTCTTCTTTCTTTTGTCGGATAATTCAAGGCCCCGAAGGCAGATGTTAATCTAAATTGTAGTAAACTAAAAGCCAATGAAATGATTATTTCTTCTCTAAATGGTAGACAGGCTGTCGCAAACAAACCTTGATTTGTGTTGTTTGCCAGCTCAGCCAGTAGCTCGGTCGATGTAAAACCTCGACAAGTGCAGTATCTTAGATAACATTATTGTTGTTAATAGTGTTATAGGTATTCAACGACAAATGTCGGTCTCAGGGAATTGGGGTTTTAAGTAAACTAACCTGCAAAAAAATTGAGATGGGGTTGGGGGGGGGTGAAGGTTTTACCCTCATACCCTTTAAGCCCTTACATCCAGATTCAAATTCTCCAAACTGATTTCAATACCTTTACTTAAAGAATTGGCTGAGAGAATTTGACAAATGATCATAAAATTCTCCCGTAAGTGATCATTTCAATAATTCTCATTACCTTTCCTGTTGATTATGTGTTGACACTGTTGGGAGTAAACTGATGCTGGTCACTTTGGGATTCAAAGGGGGAAAAAAGGTTCATTTTGGTGACCTTCGCGCTCCCTGCTCGTATAGTGTCAGAAACCGAGTGCAGGAGAAGGATTTCACAAGAGAGTTTTTTTTATCCCTTGGCGTCCCATTTCAAGTAGCAAATAAAATGACGAATGAATCCCAATACTGGGAAATAAAGAGTAGCGTCTGAGGTAATTCTAGGAATGTTAAGTCGCTTTTTTGTGTCTCTTTTTGCCACCACTGATAAATGGATAGTCGTTTTGCTAACACAGGCTAGAAGTATGATTAAAACATCATTGAAACTTTGCGAACCTCTCTTATTCTCGTAATCCTTTTTCTTGAAAATGGCGCATAATTCAGCTTCGCTTGCAAGCTTGCGTACTTTTTTCACATTTTCTTGTGTGCGTGCTCTTGACGATTTCTATCGTTGTTCAACTTTTTTGAAAGCTGCAAGACGCAATGCAATGTACCAATTACCTGGAAGATATACTCAATTGAAATAAGGAGGTTATATCATATGGTAGCTTCCAACTATACAACTGTAATCAAGTGAACAAAGACAAATGGATCATAGAGTATTTTTGATGTGAAAATAAATTTTAAAACACACGGTTTGTTGTGTACAAATTCTTATTATAATTGCAAAAATTAGGTCTTGCTTAATGTAATACGCCATTCTGGACCCTAGAGCTCTTCTGCGCATGATTACCCACACAAACAGTTGGGGGGGGGGTTTGAGGGTGGGTTCCGTGGGAACATAAACAGAGATTCTATGTCCTCTACATAATCGGTTGTGCACAGGCAAAACCAATCTCTGTTGTATTTTCTCTTTCAGCGAACTCACGAGACACAAATTCTCGTGTTACATTATTAGATTATCCCGCGGGCTTTCTCTCCGTTTTACGACAACTGCCTACACAACAACGCATTATATGTGAAGTCACAATGTTTTGTAAGAGATATCTTTATTTTCGGAAACTGATATCAACCAAATACATGCACCTACAAACCCATACAGACTATTTTGGTATTTCCCTGAACCGTCACCCAATCATGGCCACTCGTGAACACACGTGCAAACCGTAATTAGTCTCAGATTCATTTTATAGATAAATTATACACTTGTCCGGCGACTGTTAAATCGCACGATTATAGCCGAAGTTAGGCATTTAAGAGAAATATTTATATCTGGAAGAAAATCGTAGTCTCCCATAAAGTCGTTTTTGTCTTGTCACTCAACGCCCCTCCCCAATAGGAGGGACGTTGCGTGACGAGACAACAACAGCTGCGAGGGAGACTGAGAGTCGATGCATTTTCGACACCTTTAAATTTTGAGCACTTTTGTTCTAGTTAGCCTACATAATAGGAGATTTTTTTTGCGTTTTTCAGGGGAGCGAAAGCAAGCGCAATGCGAGCGAGGAGCGCGAAACACGCGCGTGTCTGATGCTCCTTGCTCGCTTCGCGCTTCACTTCGTTCGCATGAAAACGCAAAAAACACCTGTTATGCAGGCTAGTGTTTAGTCGATGAATTATCTTCAAATACAAGTACCAGTAAGAAAAGAAGAGGCTTGTTTGACAGCCTTCTGATTTTAAATTTCCCAAAATTATCAAAATCAACAAAATGTTGCGTACTACGTTTGGTGTTGGCTGGCATTACATTTCTCACAAGTTCATTAATTCAAAAGAGGTATTTACGTTTCTAACTACCCTCTCAACCAATAGCATGCGCGCTCGTGGTATCATTGTTAATTAGCCAACTTCTAATTTGGCACCATAATAATATAAGACAGCGCGAAAATAATAGAACGATAAATACTGGTATGTATTGACAGTTCGAAGACGGCAATTACCATTAAGATAAAAATCTTATAGGGGAAAAGTGCCAAGATATTTTGGTACATAACGAACCTCACTTATAAGGAATAACTTATTCAGTTAATCTATTGCTTTCTTTTCAAGAAAGATCTTCTAACTATGTCACCGACAGGATGAGATTTATCAAAGCTAGATCTGACAAACCAGATTCTCATTTTAGTGTAGCTAACAAAAACAAAAAAGACCCAGCACTTAGCATTCAACATTCAACATCCCTGTGAACTGGCATGCAACACTCCTCATGGATACACAATTTACTATCTTATACAGTGTCACGGGCAGTTGGCTTTTACCGGCAAAACCAAACTAATAGTGCTTTCACACCATGTGTATTCCTGTAACACGCCTGAGATTTTATTCAAAAATCGAGGTCGCGGTGAAGGGTACACTTTATAGGAGCACACAAAAACAACCACTTAGTGGGTTGTTATAAGCTCTCTTTTGATGGGCATTTTGAACAGCAAAACAAACCTCCAGATATCTCACACATTTCAAATGCACCAAAGAAGCGGAACGTTCAAGTCATACGAGCACTCAGTTTTCCACACAAACCATGTAACCCCGCCAGAGCCTCAAAAAATTTGCTGTTCCCCTCACAGTTAAATAGCGCGGTGTGTTCCCTGTACATGGACAAACACGATCACCAGTCGAAGGCGGCACTACACCAACATTTCCAAGAGAGTGAAATTCATTTTCGCGTTAAAAAACCAAGTGGCCACAAGGACCTCACGTTCACATCAATTGAACAACGTAATCTTTTTATCGATGGGTTTTCTGCACATGGGGCAAACCTCCAGTGAAGATGCACATTCAACACACGTGCCATGTCCACACAGGAAAGCCACATTGCGCGGTTTTTCCAAACATATGGCGCACATGTTAGCGTCCTCGATTTCCCTGACATGCGCCTGAAGGGATAGGAGTGAATGGAGCGTTTCCAGGTATTTTTCATCTTTTGCCGTCAACTCTGAAGGTTGGGTGGATGTTGCTTCTAAGAAAACGAAACAGGGAAGGTGTTTTTTGAGTATTTATTTTGGAAACCAAGCTGGTTTAATACCCAAGCTCTTGACCTAAAACCGGCACATTTTCGGTCCTTCCTTGTTAAACTTTCGACTGAGAAATCTTCGGAAGTCTTCGGGAATCTAGGAAATGTACGGGTGCGGTTTGCAACTTTCGGAGAACGTTCAGAAAGCTCTTCAAGACTGCTTAAAGGCTCATAAAAATGACCTTTTGTGATAAAATAGTAAGACTGATTTCGACTGATTAAGTTTCTTTCAAACGCGAGCTTTCGTCGACACATACGTATTTCAAAGAAAGGGGATAAAAAGCCTGTCAACAGTCCTTCCTATAACAGGTTGAAGTAAATTAAGAATTCGTGTAATTTTAACACTCTCCTTGATCTCTCGGCAGTACAGAAGTTTCCGTAGCGGAACGTTCGACTGTACATGAACCGACAGCCGTAGAATCCTTTAAACAGGCCTTTTTGTTTTAATTCATGACGCTATTTGTTTTGTTTGTTTCTTTCTTTAAGGTGAATTTCCTCTTAATTATTACAAACGCAGATTTAAATGAACAACAACTCACCACTGGATATCTTTCTTGTTATAGCTCCTTTGCACTTTAGACATTTTTTCATCCGCGCAGCGCAATCTACGAGTAAAAATTTCAGTACAAACACCGGTTTAATACGTTGAATAAAGTAGAGTGGTCGCTTTAAAAAGTAAAACTCTCTCCAACAACTAGAACTTAATACAGGCACAGAGGAAACGACGCTGCAAAGCTACCCACCTACCCCTCCTTTAAATCAAAATTTTGCCCTAAGTGAGAGGTTTGTGGTAGGGGAAGGGTAAGTAGAAAATTCCCCAGAATACTATTTTGTTGCACTGTTACTATGGAAACTATATTCGTTGTGGTTTAAAATTAAACCTTGATTTCACCTTCTATATTCCCTTGTTTACGACTCACTGTCATACGTTATCATCACACAAAACAAAGGAAAGTAACTATTAAATTAAAGACAAAAATAGAACCACAACATAATCTTAAAAACATCACGTCCTAAATGGAAGACATTCTAGGAGTCGAGCCCACTGTTCTACACTGTTCTATCTCTTTCAACCTTTGCAGTGATCAGCAACTACCTTCTCCTTAAACATTGTCGCATAATCAAAAATGGCCAGCAGCATGTCGTTCCCATGTTACTTAACCGTGAGAAATAACGTAAGTTGTCGAGAAGCTGATCAAACGGACGGTGACACTCTTTAATTATTTACACATCACGAGAATCATTTGACTATTCAGAAACGAGAAAACTGGGACAAGCTAGCTTGCGCAAAGAATTCTGGGACCGTTAGTAGGGATCTGGAAAACATTGACCAATAGCTGACAAGGGCGTCCCCAATAACTATCCCAGAAACAATTGCGGGATACATTTCGGCTCCAGTCCCCTCAAAAGTAGCGAATACTGACCTTGACAAGCGATAACGTGACCACAGGGCTCAAACTTGACGGAGGCGGGTTCGTCTGAACATACTATACACTGTGACTCCTCATTATCACCTTCCTGGGAAATTTTGCTGAAGGAGTCAACAACAGCCTAAAAGCACAAAATAAAAGAAACCTTTACGGTCTGCCACGACTCTTTTCCTGTCGATCTACAATGTCATTTAAGTAAGAGAGAGTGTCTGGAAAAAAAGTCTGTTTGGTTTAATAGAAAGACATGGGTGTTACACTCCGCAACGAAATTATAATGATTCGAGTTATTTGTAGTTAGTTATTAAGTGTATTCATTCTTTTGTGTTGGAAACGATGTAACTTAAATTCTCTATTTTCGAATCCTCCGCAACAATATTATTCACTTTGCATTAACCATTCAGTTGTTTTCCGAAGCTCTAAGGAGGACTACAAATTCTCAAGAGCATTTGAAAACAATACTTTAACTAAATTTGGTGGGCGAAGAGAGTGTATTATGGGGGATTCAAAAATAGTTAATTGGAGTAAGCTATCTTTCAGTGACCTAGCCTATCGCCTGAGTAACAAAGGGAAAGTTGGCCTTCTCTTCATTACGAGCAGTTTCCGAATCTGGAGATATACGACTATGTAAGGCATTAAATAAAAGCCTTTTACCTTACAAAGAAAACACTTCTTCAGCATAGTAGCACAATCGACACAGGCTATCACGTGACCACATGGATCAAATCTGGCATCCGCTGGAACACCGCATACTCGACATTTCACTTCAGTTACTATGGCAACTTCCACGGACGAGGTAGCAGCAGAGGAGACGTCTTTCTGTGCTTGAGAGTTTTCCCGTGAAGAGCTAAAAATATAAATGGTTAAGTAACGCAGTCATAGTGAGATGCAGAAAACGGCTTTCTGACGTACTAAAGTAGGCCTTGCTCATAAAAAATGCCAGAAAACATGAAAATGTTCAATAATATTGCAGCATTCTCCCGTTCTCTTGAGAATACATTTACGTTTAACCGTTTTTCCTTCGAGAAATATAAAATGTAGGAGACCTTAGCTTACCGTAGACCTATAAATTATGCAGAGGAATCCACAGCATGAAATTGGGTGAAATTTTTTATCAACAGCCTCCCTTAGTGCCTTTTTCGTGTTAAAACGTTTAACGAAAAAATGAACATTTCGTTATGATCTCGCACGTAAAAGAAAACACAAGGTCAAGATACTAGTGAGATATCACGTCGTTAAATACCTTAATGGAGAATGCGATAAGCATGACAATTATATATAAACCCTTAGATCAAAATTAAAATTCTGCTCAGTTTGGCGCCCCTATTCATTTGAAATAGAAGTAGTCAGGAGAAGTTAAAAAAATATCAAGCAAACACATTCTGAGTGATCATGTCCTTAATTCTCATAACCACTCTGTTTTACCAAGCATTGCTATAACAAGGAGAAATTTGATGTTGATCACTCTTAGGGTTTAAAGGGTTAAAGGGTTGTAATACAGTCAATCTCCGCTTTACAGACACCCGCTTAACACGGTCACCTCATTATTACGGACAGTTTGCTTTGTTCATGGGGAAAAAAGCCCTTACATTTTCTCTAAATTCAACCCTCTTAATGCTGACAGCCCGTTACTACGGACTCTTTCTATGGCCCCCTCAGTGTCCGTATTAACGGGGTATGACTGTATTCGTACTCAGTTGGACCTCTTTACGCCACAGTGACACATACTGTATGATTATGTGTCTCACTAAGGATTCGTTACTTTCAGTGCTGATCTAGAAAACGAGGTTAATAACATACAGAGGAAGCTCTCTTAAAGGACACTGTCATAAGCTGGCTGCTCTATTTACGACCGCCTTCACAAAACCCCCCTTATCTCAACTCCCACACAAACTCTGTATTTTTACATTCCCGCAAGCGGCCAGCTTCAGTTACGGACACCTTTTTCGCGTCCCGAGAGTGTCCGCCCACGAGAGCTTCCACTGTATTTCTTATTTCTTTGAGGATACTTTGGCGCACGGGGAGGAATACTTTCAAATTCAGCAGGCTGTACAATAGAATACGGCCCGCAAAATTGTCTAGTCACAGCGCGCGTACAAACTGAGAAATGATAAGGACAAAATACAAAAAATGCGTTTGCTAGAAGTTTGAAATAATAAGCAACTGTGCATGCGCCCGCCGTTTGCCAAAATAGACTTACTCTTCTGTCATTGTATCTTTAGGCACCATGAGTTCCCTGAGCCTTGGATCTCTACACAGCTGCACTGGTGTCTTCTCGTGTTTGTTCTGGAGTGTTATGTCAGCGCCATGATCCATCAGCAACTTCGTTATTATGAACGTTGGTTCACTGGTTGACAACTGAAAAAAGGAATCAGTACTTCATTACCTGGCGGTAAATTTCTCTAAAATGACCTCCCATGTTTCCTCTTCCTATTCGAGGAAATACGGCACGTTGATTCCCAAATAATAGGGAGAAACTATGGCAGTGGGTAAAACTCAGAACCAAGTCTCAAGTTTGGAAAAAAACGCTGGGAAATAACATGAAAAGACGCACACTTTAAACGCACGTTTTTAACCTTACCATCGTTAATTCAACTATTTCAAGTCAGATGTACTGGAGGATAGGAACATGGTTGCCACAGCCAGAGGTTTGTAAAATTCCCTGACTTTCCCCGGACTTTTTCCTGACAAATGTAAAATTTCTCTGACCAGCTGAATTAACAGTTTCACACATCATCAGACCTGATGAGGGCTCAACCCTCCCCTCATAGCCATCCCCTCCATATATGTCTCTAAAATTAGAATTTTAATGTTACAAAACAGTAGTAAAAAAGCGGGAGAAGAATAAATATGAACTCTTAAAATTTCACTTTTCCCTGACCTTGAAGAATTTTTTCCCTGACCATTTCCTGACCTATGGCAACCATGAGGGAAACTGCCGGATCCATAATTGAGTGGGATTTTAATGATATATAAAAACCACAAGAACCACGATTTCACTCAAAGTTAGCGTCATGTAAGCAAAACTGCTGTGTGTTATAATACAATCCCCCGATCGAAGCCTACCTCCTTCTTTGGTGTATTACTCCCTCCAACCTTCAAGGAATGGTACATGACTACTACGTGAAGGGGCGAGTCACCAACATCGTCTTGGTCATTGACTTCCGCTCCGTTATCCAAAAGAAGCTTAGCTATGGTCACGTGTCTCTTATCTACAGCCAGGAGGAGAGGGGTCTGTTGACGACCATTTCGAAGGTTGACGTCAGAACCTGGGCGAGCCTGTAATGAAGTAGCAAAGACATAGTGTAACAACAATAACAGAAGGTTGGTTGTTCAAACGCTGGATAGCGCTGATCACCTCATAACTCACTATTCAGCGGATAAGTATTAGCGAGACCAATTGCGTATTTCGTTAGATAGAGATTTATTCAGTGGACAGCGTTATCCACTTTTTGAACAACTGGCGCCATCGATTTATTCCGTTAGTTTTGTTGTTGTTGTGTTTGATTTTTGTGTTTTCTTTTTGTGCCTTTTTGACTCCAGTATAGGATTCACGAGCTTCGATTTTGATGGTTAGGAAATCACAACGTATGTCAAAAGAGAAGAATTAGTTGAAGCAATCAGAGATCACGAAATTTGTGAAATAATCCAATTTAATTACAACTCTACTGCTCATGCACTGCCGCACTAAAACATTCATGGGCTGTTTAGAATAGAGCTCTAAGTCATTAACCTTTATTGTTTTATTCAGCGTCGTGGTGATTCCCGCCGATCGACAAATTTAGAAAGCGCAAGCTTACGGTAAAGTTCCACTTCATATCAATTTTGACAGATATAATCAATTCGCACAACTGCAGTGCGCAGGCGCACCAGCTGACACCATCTTTTTCGGCAAAATACGGGTGAAACCTTTCTAAGGTCAAAAATGAACACCATGCACAAACCTCTAAATCACGACAATAGTGACTTCTCACCGCTGAATTCTAAGCTTTCAGATTGTATAAGCTTAAGAGACGGCATGGTGATCACAAGCGACTTCCAAAAGTTAGCAAAGAGCATTTTCACATCATGACGCCACAACCGCCATGTTGGTGTTCAAAAAAATAAAGCGGCGGGCATATTGGTGTCCCAAACCAGTCCTGTGGGGCAGGAACTCTTCCTTGACTAAAAGTTTTCTTTTTTCGCAAAACATTTGCGCAGCTGCTGGCCAGGTGAGCGAAAATGCTCAATTTCAACCAAATCACGCCATTCCAGCGAACACAACAAGGTCAATATGTTAATTTACGTACCTCGACAAGACACTGGACAACATTATGGTGGCCGTTGAGCGAGGCCAAGTGCAGCGCAGAGAAGCCGTCCTCTTTCACAACGTTCAACAAATCTGGGCATTTTTGTGCTATCAAGGAAGCCGCCCTGTGGTAGGGTTAGGGAAACAAGAAACAATAAAAGAAATTTAAAGTTGCCAAGAATTAAACAGTCATACGCATTTATGTTCAGTGCTGCAAGCTTGTGGAACAGACTTCCTGAGGAGTGGCTTTACCTTGATGTCTTTCGAAAACAAACTTAAGCGAATTGAAATTTGTAAATTGTAATGGACAGTCTTTAGCAATTCCTTAGTTAGTTTATCTTCAAATTCTTGCCGATAAATCATAGTTTTTGACTGATTTTTTGGTTCTTTATTAATTTTTTCTGAGGGCCAGGTGTAGATTATCGAGAGATATTGAGTGCTACCCTCAATAAAAAAAAGGTTATTGTTATTATTATTATCACTATTAAAGACAGAATAAAAATGGAAACAAACAAGCAATCGATCCCCCATTCCCTCCTCCCTTTCTTCAACCCCCCCCCCCCCCCCCTCCTCGCCTTTCTCTGTCTCAAAAATCACTACTGACCTCGCATTTCCTTTTAAGGCTGCATGATGAAGGCAGTTGAATCCTCGCTTATTTTTAATGGACAAATCTACGCCGCGGAAGTTCACGAGAACTTCAACAATCTCAATGAAGTCTTTAGCTATGGCATCGTGAAGGACAGTGTCCCCGTATGAATCCTGCAAAACAACAAAACGTCACATTTAATTTTCCTCCTTTGACTCTCTCTTCTTTCAGTTCCATCTCGGTCCTGGAAGAAGAGAGGTCCTGGGTACGAAGATGCGACGAATTATAACAAACCTGTGCGTTGACATCACAGGAGAAGTTTAGTAACGTTTTTACGACGTCCGTATATCCCTTATTGACTGCAACGTGAAGCGGAGAACATTTGTTCTTGTTGAGTTTGTTGCCATCCGCGCCTCCCTTCAGCAGAGCAACAGCCGCTGCGGACTGATTTCTGAGGAATAATAAAATATTCTTATAAGACATCAGAGATAACGAAACATATATAACAGGACCAGTTTGTGTGTATTTCTTATATTGGTTATAAACCTTCGTTCATTCCTTGGTGAAATGTTAAAAAGCTTGAAAAATCTTCAAAGAATGCTGTAGGACATCAGCCAACTTTCCTTGAAAAAACAAAGATTAAATAGAACGGCCTCAAGTCTGGACTCACCCGAATGCAGCATAATGTAGAGCTGTATCTCCTTCAGCGTCCTGAAGAAAAAAAGGGAACCCCGATCAGCAAACGTTACTCGATTTTTTAACATTATAATATAATATTAAATCCGATTTATTTGCTTACATTGTAGCTAGAGATTGTTCTTGAACAAAGAAGAAAATAGGATCTGATCGAGGCCTGAAATTCAGAATAACTCTCCTTAAAATTTGTGCGAAATCTTGTGGTCACACAGGTTTCGAAAACGGACCCAATTTTCGTAAAAAATGATCAATTTTTGAAAAAACATGGTTTTAGACCTACTGGCTTGAGAACTTAGAGTTGAGATGGACGTCTGCTTAAAAGCTCCTGGCTCAAAAGATGAAAAGCGCCTTTTACTCTTCCGTTGAAAACACCGCAGAAATTAAGCCTAAGTAGCTGAAATTAAGTACATCACAACTGGATTAACTAAATCACTTTTTTGATAAAATTTTTCAGCTACTTCAAGAGATTATAATACTAACTTGAAGATTAACGTTAGCTCCGAGATTAAGTAGAAGCTCCACAATTTGGGTGAGTCCTTGGTGACTGGCAATCTGCAAAGCAGTCTTATCTGATCGTACAATGTTCACCTAAAAAAAAATAACCAAAGAATAATCAATGGACAGCGTCTTGGCAAGATTTTAAGTAGTATTACGTTTTCCTCCATATCATGGGACTCGCGAGATAACTGATTTTTTCATTCCTAATAGAGGGGAGAAGTCGTTACGTCACGTTGCTATGGAAGCAAAATTTTTGGATAACAACAAACCGAAAAAGTCACTTGGAAGTCTATTCACAATATTTCAAACTTCACCGACCTTATCTAGTATCATTTAATTTGCCAAATCTTGGCGAAATTTTATTTGGGACCGTATCTATGATTACCTAAGTTAAGAAAAAGAAAGCGACAATTTTTGTGTTATAGTCTTGTGATGTTCCACGACGTAGTGGTGCAACGACGGCAAAGAAATGTACAAAATAGCGTGATGCACGTGCAAAGTTTTTGTTTGCTATTATAAACATATTATTTTTTGCCGTTCTCCTTCTCGTCGCCATCGTTGTTGATTTTGTTGTCATCCAGAAATAGTGCTACCATGGTAACGTGACGTCACACTTCTCCTCTCTATAGGTGTAAAACTAATGCACCCCTGCATAAATTTCCCCAAATTTCACGTCCTACAAAATCCAAAAGCGAATAGTGCAACGGAAAAGCACTGCCGAAGGAAGTTTTATTTCATGTCCAGAAGTCGAATGTTTGTTAAATCTGTTAAATGGAGGGGCTTATATTAACTAGAGGTAATCATTGATTACGGACCCGCGTTAGTCATTGCCGGAAAAAATATGGAAACCAAATCGAGTTGAAATGAGTCAAGTTTCCTGGCCAAGGTGCCCCTGATAAAATTAATAGGGGCGGCTAATTTGCAGTCGCCCGTCACAGCTCGAACATTTCTGCCTTAGTGCCACAAGAACACCAGATAGGATGCGTTCTGACAAACGCGACAAGCGGCAGTTTACGGTAGCCCTTTTAAGTTTGGCCTTGTGTAAACAGACAACACAAGGGAGGATACCTGTGCAATAGAGCTGGCTGTACTCACCTTATCTGGATGAGCTTTTAACAGTTCTCTCAGTTTTTCGACGTGTCCCTGTCCTGCCTCACTAACAATCATAGAACCTATATCAGTTGACGCATTGATGCGCAGGTGATCCATGAGTGTTCTCAGAGATTCATCTAAAAACAGAACAACTTACTAGTCATATTAACATTTTAACAATTCCTACTTGCTGCATTTCTACTTGAGAAAGAAGCCCGGTTTTACTTGCAACGCCAGCACAAAAGCAAGCACAAGAGTTCTTATTATATCGTGAAAAAAGGCTTTGGCGCAAGCATAAGCACTAAGATAAGAATTTTTGATGTTCTGGTACATAGCTAGTGTCGGCGTGGTGTTATTGTCGTCCCTATTGTTTTTGTGGTCGTTTGTTTGTTTTTTCCTCACTAAAAACCCTACCAGAATACCGGCAGTTTATTTCTTAAAGCAAAAGACCCAGTCCCAAAAAATAACACTGGTGCCGCTTTTTATTCAGTTCTCTGCCAAGATAATGCCTGTCGACTCAAAAGTGGGCAAATTTCCCTGGATGGATGGAGTCGTCGTGTCTTCAGGTCTTCCATAAACTGTCGCATGGAAAGTTCGTGCGGTGACGTCAATGAAATTTACCAAACATTGTGCATAGTGCACGTACAGAGCGGGGGTTGTTTTAGTCAACGTCTTTGTTGTGGTTGTTTAAGGCTTTATGTCTACACTATACTGTAGCGCTCTAGCGCCGGTACGAAAACCTTCTCTTATGTAGATAGGTTTTTCTGTTGACACATGAGAACAGTGATTTCGGGGCGCTTTCTGTAACGTAGTGATACCGTGCCGTCTCGATCTTGACAGTGTGCCCTCACATATCGTATCAGTTTCTGTGACACCCTTTAGCCCAGTGTAAACAGGTGTTCCTACAATGCAGGATAGCTTTCCATGTCAACATGAAAAACTGTCCCGTATAGCATAGACAAATCCTAAACTCCCTAATTTCACGACGTATCCATGCCGAAGAAGGCAAAGGAATGTGCTCATGAAAAACTTGATGCACGAGCAAAGCGTGCAGAGTTGTGCTGATTGAGGCTAAGATTTTTCAGTTTTTGACGGTATTCACTTGTGCTGATGTCGCTGTTGCTAAGGATCGGTTTTCACAAGGATGTTCTCCTTTACTTCCTAGTTGCCTGTGTGCACCTTGACATTTTTGTTTTCTTCCCACGCAAAACAAAAACTTTTCACATTTCCCATTAACACGACTATTGAAAGCTCGCTGACGTAGGTGTACCATATAACTCCATACATGTATTTATAAGAGTATGTCGCGAGGAAATGTTATTGATTTACCAGCTGACTGGCATATATATTTTCTGAACGCTACCGACTATCAAATTTTCGTTTTCCTTCTTTAAGTTTTACCTATTTCTCTTTGCGAATTTGGAACATTTCTTCGTTCCTCTGCAGATGAACGCCTTTGGTGTTGCCGCTGAGACTTGGTAGACGATGTTGATGAAGGCGATGGTTGTAAGATTCCCTGTAACTCTCCATGCGCTGCAGTTTGTTTGGCCTGGGGCGATGCTAGTGGGCCTGATGGTATTGCTGTAGGTGACTCCTTTACCAGCACCGCCGGGTTAAATGTCCAATGTTGCCCTGCAATAGCCACTCTGATGTCTCCATCAGAATAAATTTTCAAGACTTGCCCAACTTTGCCCAGAGCCTGAGAAGAGAGAGATGAAAATTCTTGTCATGAATTAATAGGGCGCGAAAAAAACTTATATTCCAGCTGGTCCTTTCGGCAAGCAGCTCTCATAGTTTGCTTTTCCGAGGCTACCTCTTGCTTATCCTTAGACAGTTAATGATTTGGTTTGAAGATGACTACCTTGGGCCCTAATGGGCAAGTCAGCATTAACAGTTACTCGCCCAACTATCGGACGGGACTTTTTACGAGCCCTGATAAATTTTTACAAAATGTTTATTCGCCTACACTGCATTCTGGAAGCGTTGTTGCGTTTAATAAAATGGTTGTCAAAGTGATAAACGTGCAAAACAACTACAATAATTAGTCACTCTATGTTGATGTGTTGTTCAATTAAAAGGCAAAACTTCGACCACATGTGAAGTACGTTTACATACCAAAACCATATCCTCAGTCCACTCTCCATGCCCAAACTGAAGTTTCTTTACCAATTCGAGATTTTTCATCACCCTTACTTTGTCACTGACGTGTAGCTCGTCAACCTAAGAGAAAATACGAAGCCTTCATCATCTACAGTACCCTGTGGAAGCAACGAGAGTCTGCAAGCAAGTTCTCATTCTAGAGACTGCAAGAGTAGAAGGTCACGGACGAGCGAGCGGAGAAGGATTGGGGCGGAGGAAGCGCACGCTCGCTTCACGTGACTTACGAATGACAGGGAAACGCCAAATTTGGGGCTCGTCCTCGCTGCAAGAACAGTAACACCCTTGAGTAATGTAAAAAATAGAGCCTTGGAACATAATAATCGATACAATCAATAACAGGTATAATAAAGAAAAATTTCACGGTTCTAACACCAAGGTAAAGGATTGGAGCAGAGGTCTGGCCAAAAATTCCACAAACCTCCGTTGAACGGATAGAAAGAAATGCCGCTGAAATAACGGCGATTTTGCGCTTGCTTTCCGCGTTTCCGAGCGGTCATGTGGGCATGTGCCGAGGCATAACTCCATAATTCTCGGTTTCAGCAACATAACTTTCGGCGAGACAACTTTTGAATGACCCGTTGTCTGGGTTACTACTTACAAGCACCAATAACCTTAATGGCGGTGTTTGGTGGTGGTTATAGAGATAGTGTTATAGAAATAATTTCGTTCTTAGGTCAAAATTCGTATATATGCTTAAAGTATAGTACTTTCAAGACGGAATCCATTAGGAAATTGAGTAATTTCAATTTTCAGTGGACAAAAACCTTGTACCAGAATAATTAAAACAATATCGCATTCTTTCTTACAGTTTTTAAGGGCTATAGATGTCATTAGTTATCTGTAATAACACTAAAGACTATTTCTCATGGGAGCCCGAGAAAATAAATGCCAAATTTCACAAGAATTGTGAAAACACAGGTAAAATTCTGCAAATTTCTCATGTAAGGTCTCATTTTGCGAAATTTGACATTTATTTTCTCGAACTCTCATGAGAAATAGTCTTTGGTGTTATTACAGGTAACGAAATACATCTATAGCCCTTGAAAAGTGCAAAAAAGAAAGCGATATTGTTTAAATTATTCTAGTACAAGGTTTTTATCCACTAAAAATTAAAATTACTCAATTTCCTAATGGATTCTGTCTTAATACTTTTACCTTTGTAAGGGCTGCAGGGTGGAAAGTCCATCTATTAGCAAACCCAGGGTACTGTACTCTCACATCACCACGTTCAGTTATTCTATGCACTGTTCCTGTCAGGCCAATCACCTGAAAAATATTAAGTTTCTAATAAAATCCACTTCTCACAAACTGACTGCCATTTGTCTGCCAGACGACAATGCAACAGCTTTTTAGTAATCACAACCACCACAAAAAATTTACAACAAGCAAAGGAAAAAAGAGAAAAACCTTCCTGAATCTAATACACTCAGATATCAACCCAACACACACTTTTTAAAACTCACAAAGGGTGGGAAAAGCTTTTACACTGTATGGCAAGAAACAAAAACTGAATCACGTGAGGTGCATGAAAACTGATACCCTAAAATGTCACTCGTGCCCAGGTTCTATTCAGTGTGAGAGAACTTCATTTCTTGCCTCTTTCCAAGCTCCACTGGTAAAAAGAACATCTCACGTCCAATAGTGGCTGAGGTAAAACATTTCCAAAAATTCCAAATTTCTAAAAACTAGTTTTGCTAGATAGACCGAAAAAAAAAGGAAGAAAGTAGCAATAAGAGAACAAACCACAGGATTGACTTTCACAGATTGCCAGACTGTACAGGCTACATTTCACATACCTCTTCCATTTTGTCATTCCATCCCCCATGTCCTTCTTGCATATCTCTTAGTGTGTCCACGCCTAAGAGAACTCGCACCCTCTCACCAACCTCAAATGGTGGATCATCGCTTGTGGATCTTGATACAGAGTTACTTGAGTGTGGTATGATCAGAGATTCAGGGTTTTGACCAAGTTTTGGCAGATGTGTCTTATAATAAGATCCTCCACTTCCAACAGTGATGCATTTTAAATCCACCTGAAAAATGACAGGTAAAAATAGTATTTGATTTAATATAAATGATTTGATGTACTTGTTGTGGAAATAATTGAGGACTAGACTGATAACAGAGAAAAAGATCGGCAGCTACAGCTTTTATACTAAAAAAGTTGACACAATCTTGTTTCATCGCCGAAAGATGCTCAGTTATAAGATGCTCCCTAAAATTACAACAGATTTAGAGCTATAGAGCACACATTGAAAAAATGCTATGCCTTATAACCAAAAGAAAACAAGATAATACTATCTGGGCTGTCACTTTACCGTGCACAATATATGCACTAAGTAAGTCAGGAATTCAACAGCTCAGAGGCTCTTTTGGTTTTATTTTCCTTTTGAGTCCTACAAAAGTAGTAAATGCTCCTAATAGCTGGGGGAAGTCTCCAGCCAATGAACCTTAATAGCCCTGTATTAAAGATTTTTTAAAAACATGGGAACTATCAGCACATTTAGCTAGGATATTATATTATTTTGCTTCAATGTCATCGATGAAATTCAAGGAGAAATAATACAAGTTCCTCATTCCTAGACCAAGTGCTGAAAGTTTCCAATACGATGGTTCCTTTCTATATTGCTCACCCCCCCCCTCCCCCCCAAAAAATACGCCTGCCTGGAGAACTTGCTTGCGTGCAGGCTCTACAAGCTAAGGCTAGCCGAACAATGTTTAACACAAAAATTGCCAGACTGTATTTCCCTACCTTGCCTTTGTGCCCAACACGGTACACATTTGTACTGGTAGGTTTCCATTTAACACACGCGACGCTTCGGAAACTTTCCAGCTCCCAACCTCTCAAATCTAACACCTGACCTACACTCTGGGGACCTCCATCTTGGTTTCCCCAGTCCCAGTCTGGCCCACGCATGACTTGCGAACCAGCAAATATCCCTTTAGCCTCAACTTTGCACTTGCCAAGTCTGTTGCCAACGAAAACTCTGCAGTAAGAAATATACAGTTGTAAAAGTTAGCTTTCAGCATAAGGACCAACTGAAACAATAGGTCATATTTGTCCAACTTTTATATTTGTGATGCACAAAATTAAAACAGTGGGAACCACCACCAAATTGAGTAAAACATAAAAATAACTGCTCACAACATGGAAAGAAGGTATCAATAACACATCAAACACAAAAGGAGACACAGACAGACAAACTTGAAGAAGATTGAAATGGATTGTAATTGTGGTTATGGAAAACCTGTTAGCCTAACAGTGTTTCAAAGGTCATTTTTGTTGTTTGTAATGTTTGATATAATGCTTGGGAGTGGTATTTATTTCAGACTACGCTGTGATTTTGTCATTCACATTTAAGTAATTTCTCAAGTTCCATGGGGAATAAGGACGCACAGTTGGCATCATTAACAAAATGAACTAGAAAGCTGTGACACATGCACAAAGTATATCTACTTAAGGCCCATTTTACAGTTACAGTTGGAAAAAAGGCTGGAATTGACCTTGTTTTGATACAATCCTTTCTCCTTTATTATTTTTAAGCAAAATTTCCATTAGAAAAGGAAGGAGGTTTGTATCAAACCAAGGTCAACCAAGGACACCAAACCCACAGCTGTAAACTGGCCTATTAAAAAATCTTCCCTGTATTATTATACCAAAGCAAAAACTAGGGGGGGGGGTAGGTGACAGGGTGCCCTTACAGCCACTCCTTTTATCCCAGCTGGGGATATGAACCATATTATATATCTGACAGCTACCTTGCCCATTAAACACTTACAACAGTTAACTCCTAAGCTAGTTTTCTGGGAATTTCCACAAATGCAGTCCCAGCTTTCTTAGAAGCATATCATCAATGGTCAGAGCTTTTCCAAGAACCCAAAACAATACATATCATTTTCTGTGAACTGGTGCCCAACATATTACAGGTCATTAATGTCATGTAAAAATTGTTTGAGACAGCTGACCTAAAGCAATAGCATTTTTTAATTTTTGTATAATTCTTACCACAATGCTTTTCCATCTTACCCTGGTTTTCCACGAGCTTCCACTCTATTAAAACCATGATCAAGTGGATGCTTATCATTCATGTAACAGGAACTACAAAGGTTAAGACTGACACAGTCACAACATTCCCAGCGAATTCCTTCAATGGCTTGCTTTTTGCACTCATTACAAGTCACATTAGAATGCACAACACCTGGAAAAATGGACAATTAACAGCTTTTCTAAACAGATATAATTTAGAAATAAAAAAAACAGTAATTACACAGAAATTATCATGGTCCACTGATCAATTCTATGGTGATGAAATGATTTGTAGAATTTCAGGAGTCTTGTAACATCCTTGAGATTTTATCAGCTGGATCTACAACATAGGAGTCTTATGAGACGGAATTCAACTCAAAAAGTGTGTTGTATTACTATGTAATTTTCCATTTTACAAGAGTTGTAAGAGTAATACAAAATTTTGTCTGTCATGCTTGATTAGTTTTTTCCCATAAGCAATTATAATATCAATTTATCTTGTCTTTATTTTTTTTTCTTTTTCCCCTGAGGCTAAACTCAAAAAATACTCATTATAAATACTACATATTGTTGCTTAACAATAATATTTTGTTATTAGCAACACTGGTCTGGATACATTTTAATTCAGGAAGACTAGGTGAACCTCTATCCTCAGTGTAATCTAGTTTGTGGTTTTTTTTTGGCTAGTTTGAATGATAGCCAACAATTTAATAATAACCTCCTTCGCTTTAGGCCTGACAAAATTCAATTCCTCTCTTTTTAAAGATTCGTTGACTTTGTAGGTAAACTTGTCTTCGGTTCCTTCTGTTCATTTAAGCTTGAATAACATCTCAAGTTTCGAACCATGGCAAAACTTAAACTTGCCCTGAAGATGGAAATAGTCTAAGAACTGAAAATTTAAACCATGATGTTTCTGCTGTTTCAGTTTCCTAAAAATCAATGAATGAGCCAAGGACAAGTTTGCCATAACAGGCCATGTTATGAAATGAAATACAACAGTGCAACTGTTGCGAAGGATACCAAAAATGTGAGTTTATATCTACAGAAAATTTGGATATCATGAATGCAACAATACGCCGGTCTAATATTGCTCATTTTCGTGTCGGTGAGATGCGTTTAGACAAACTTCATTTCATTCCCTGATTGAAGTTACACAGTAAAGGATTATCCCTCAGGAAGAGATGTTACTGTCTCACAATAAAGACTGGTAAGTTATTTTTGGAAGAAAGCATAAGTATGTGACAAAGTGAACGTAAACACTGAACCTTTCATTAGGTAAACATCTACTTAGAAACTTTTTTTAAGAACCGTTTTCCCTTTGATAGAACGACTGGAAATCTTTACTACCTCCATGAGCAATAAATAATTCTTAGCGGTCACATCGCACGAGGTTAAGAATTTTTATCGATGAAATGCGCGCCCATACAGATGCTAATTCAAAGTTTATTAAGATGAGTCAGGAAGCTTTAAATTATAACGCCTTACCCGCCGGGCCATTATCAAACAGACACAGATCGAACGCTCCTTGATAACCACATCTGTAGTTAGTTCTCGTTCCACCATCCCATTGAACCACGACTGTTTTATCGGGAGAAGAAACGCTTCCACTTCTACCCACCACAACAACAGTCCCAACATGTCCTTCTCCGCCATCTTGATTCCCCCATTTCCAATCTGGACCACGAACAACACGGCAGCCGGCTTCCATTTGTCCTTCTCAACTAGACTCAACTCCTCGAGAAAGCATTCTAGACAAAAAGATCCTTGATTTTCTTAACAACACGTTGTTTCGCAGAACTTGACTTTCTTCGAAATCGACACGAAAAAAAATACGAATTTGCGGGCAGCGGATGTCACTGGTTTCCAGTACCATCGTTAATCCACTTGACGCACGCCCACGACCGGAAGTCGTGCTTCGCGCGCGATTCATGCAGTAATCTTTTATTTGCTAAATGCTGGGCAGGGCCGACCAGAAACATTTGTCAAACACTTGGAATTAAGCCGAAAGGAAACGGAGGATGTGTTAAGGATTTCTACGTCTCTAAGTGATACTACAGGGCAGATAATATAGCAAATTTGATTTGTTTGAATCAAGGGAAGACGATAAAGTTGTACGAAAACTAGTTTCAGACGTTGCACTACTGATTTTTTTTATAAATTTGAGAAACAGTCACGCTAACGTAGAAAGACCTCCCACCGAATCTATTCAAGCAACGATTCTTTAATTTACACTTACATCGCTACCGCAGCCTGTGGTTTGCTAATGGTTTACAGAAGGTTTTTTTCCGGCGACGCTATGATTTACACAGGTTGACAAAAAACAATCATGAAAATTGCCTTTTTGAGTAATATAAAATTCTTAGCAAAACGACAGCAAATGGAGATACTAAAACGCTACTCAATTTAATCCCTTATAAAACTCACGATTACTTTTTACTGTTAATTGGCTTGGGTCTGACCACCGCTGACAGGAAGTTTTTTGCTGTTTCGAGTTGTGCATCACAGCACATCCATAAAAGGAACGCAATCTTGAGTAGAAATAATCAAAAAGTTGTCCAACCTTTAAACAGTATTTTTGCATGTATAAAAAAAACACCTTCATTTTCGATTTCAAAACCTAACCCAGACACTCTCTTATGTGGCCCGTAGTATTTCAGAAAACTGTTTATTGAAAATAAACAGGATATTGAAACCTAAGCTGAGTTCCACAAATTTCAGTGAAGTTGTTTACAAGGAAAATGTAATTTGAGTGAATTTCACTGATGTGCGTAGTGACATGCACCTGTTAAAGGCAACAGCTTGATCGGCAAAAATAGAAGTGTTTTAAGACAAGTGTTATGCTTGATATTCGTAAAACATGTACTGATGATTGAATGTAGGCAAACACAACCCGATATTACTGAAACTCACCCTTCGGATCTTAGCACTGTTGAGATACTCACTCGTCACTGTAGTATACCAATAAACTCTTTGCAAGCCGGCTGGCACTGGAGCAAAGGAACATTTTCCTCAGTGAGGGTGTATAGTAAATTTAAGCTTGATTTTTTTTTTCTATGGAAGCATAGCAGTTTCTTTTAAGTTTCGTTGGTAAACCTCCGGCACCTACGTAGCGTCGCATACTTGCATTTTAAACTAAGAGGAAGTACCTATCAAAGAGGAAGTGCCACTCAAAGTTGGGAGAGCGACTGTTGAGGACCAACATTGTTCTTCCCTTTTTCCATTTGTTACAGCAAAAACTGCATTGGTTTACAATTAATTAATCGCAAGTTGATACCAGATAATGGTCAGCTTCATTTCGGGACACTATTTTTGCTTCCCTGTCCCTCAACCCCCAGCTTACGTTGAAGCATTCCGACAATTCCCGCTCGACACCAAGCAGGGGCACCCAACGACAATTTTCGGGAAAATATCTGTTCGGAAGACGATTTGAGATCTAGAATTTTCGGAACATTTGTTGTAAAATTTCTTGCTTGCCTGCCTCTCCTAGGATTTTCGAACATCTAAAAAATGGTAAAATTACCCATTTTCAACGGATTTTTACCCTAAAAAGGTCACCTAGAATTTTCGGGAGCCTTTTTTCTGGCTGAAATTTTCGAATCACTAGACTTTCAGCTAGGAAATCCGAACAGATGAAAAATTTATAGGGGATAAAAATATGCCCATATCCACCGTTTAAATACTAAAACACGTTTAACAATGCTATGTTTAAGTGGTTTTGAACTATATTCTCGTTGGGTGGCCCTGACCAAGGGCCGTCATACTATTCAATGTGCTAAAGACTGAGAGATCCCATTACCATTTATTGTACTAAAATTCAGTTATTCTGTTCCCATCGACTTTTCCCTTATTCTCAAAACCGCTAATAAACAAAGGCTGAAAAATCCGTCATGTAGACTTTTAGGTTTCCTGGGTGTACCCTAAAGAAGAAATCAAAAATTCGTCATCAATCAGCTGTAAGAGGATCAAAGGATTTATTGTAAGGAATTTTAGTTAGTTGTTAGTTTGAACTATAACTAAAGAAGAGGAAATTTCTAGTCCTAATCTTTTCAAGTATCGAGAAGTTCTATGGTTTGGCCCTGATTAGATTGTGGTCAATTTTGCAAGTCTAGGGCATTATTATTTTCAGTGCCTTTTCAATTTTGCCATATCTCTCCCATTCTCCTCTAAACACCGACAACAAGTAACCCTGACTAGAGTCTGACTGTGATGGAAAACGCACCAGAAACGCTACAGTAATATTTCTCCTTTCTCTCTGTTGAGCTTAAAAACTGTACACTTTTCACCTTAATGTACATTTCAGTCATCGAAAGGCATAACTAAAAGATTGGAAAACTATTTTAGACATTTAAAGGGTGAATTAAAACGGTTCCAAAACAGTTTCGGATTGCTTGTCCTTGGCACTCTGCCTCCATTAGTTTTAATTAATGCAGTGGGTGTGAAATTAGACATTTAAAATTGTTTATTTACTCAATCACTGACATTTTTCCAAAGTATTTTGACTTATCATAACGATTATTTTTTAGTTCAAAAACCTCTAACAGTTGCCAAAATTGTAGACTCGTTAATACTATTAATTGGCGCCAGTCTTTTTGAGCTTTTAAACTTTAAATCGATTAAGAAGATATTTAAAGTGGAGTTTTAGGAAAGCAAGTTATGTATTATGGGAATCGCAGACAGCACGTTTCATTTCTAATTAGGTTAAAATATCGAGATCGCACGTACTTGAAGATTCTTTTAACCTTTAACTTTAACATTTTACGATACTGGCTTGGGTAGAAGTACTTACAGTGGAACCTCGATATAACCAAGGCCAAGGGACTGGCAAAACTTGTTCCCTATAACGATCGAGATTCGTTATATCGAGGTACTTATTATTTTATTCAGCCTAGTCCCTAAGCGTTCTCTCTTCTCTCTTGCTCCGTTGTCCGCGCGAAGTCTGGGAGAGACCAGCGAGTATCTCTCGGTGACCTCACAGCTCATGGTAGAGTCCAGGAATGACCGAGCCGAAAACGCCTGGGGACTAGGCTGTATTTTATTATTAATGGCGCTAAGAATATCATGTAGAGGTTCGTTAAATCGTGGTTCCACCTCCCTCCTCCGTAGCCTGCTGTATACAGACCCCGCCTCACCCCCTCCCCTCCCAATTTTTTCTGAGGGAGGGGGTCTGCACACAGGCCCCTGGGGAGGAGAGAGAGGTTCTACTGTACTTATCTTTGCTCGATACCAGCCGTTGAGCGGAAAATGAGCCCGCGCTCCGGAAATCAAATCGAGTGCAACATGAAGAAATAGTGAGACATCAATGCTTCGCTTAAATGCAAGAAAATAGAGAGGGAGCGAAATGTGTTGCCCTAAAATCCTAATTTTTACACTTCAAATACAGATTCTATAGTCTTGGTATGCAATAGATCTTGACTGCAGTTTGCTGCATGTCTTATCCTATAACTCCAAGGGAGGGACTTTTTTTTAACCGTAAAAAAAGTCGAAAAAACTCCCTGCTAAATGTGATTTATCAGTGGCTGATCCAGGTGAGGGCCCCTTATTTTTAGACCAAACTAAGGGCCGAAAGGTCAAAAAAAAATTTTTGACACCCCTCCTCCTTATCCCAGGCGGTCTGGATGACCGCCCCCAGCCCCCCACCCCCACTTATCTGAAGGTCTTTATCCACCACTGTTTATTCATAATTTAAGCAGTTAAAAGGGATGCAAAGTTCTAAACTAGGTATGTGAAAGGGGTACCATTTTTCAATAGAAGGTATAGCAAAAGCGGTAATTTCCGCTTTCCTAATTAGCTGTAGCCCCGGGGTAATAAGTCCAAGTTGCGATGCCTTAGGGGGGTATCTATCGCAGGAACTGCCTGAAGGAATGTCATGAGCCTATTTCTGAGACAGCTGAGCCATACAAAATGTATGAGAACATTTTTTAGCTATCTATACAGAGTGTAGATTGAAACATTCTCCGTAAAGACAAACATTACTAAAACAATAATTAGTTGATCAAGAGTTCATTTATCGGTCATGAGTGACATTTGGAAAAGTAAAGTTTCAATGAGCTGTTGACTAAATCCTTTACTGTCATACTTAGTATATTCTAATGAAACCTTTTTGGCAGAACTTTAACCGGGCTGGCTTGCTAAAAACAGTCACACATGATTGCTGACTGGGATTTTTATTTTCTAAAAGTCTTGCTAGCTAGCAGTGAAGAGAGGGTATTTTTTTCCCCCGGGAAAGTTAAATATTAAGATAGCTTGAACTAAAAGCACTCTGCTAGCGTTAACGACATTGTATAATCAATTTTGTGCAAAATGGTCGTTGTTGTGTACTCCTGACTTTAGACTGTTTAGTTCGTCGAGCTCTCATCGTTGTTTACCGTTCTTGAAGCAGCCATTTGGTTTCAAATTTAATTTCATGCCCAATCATTGTCTGGGAAAGAGTATCAACAGTGCCAGGTCAAATCTACTTTTAGGGCAGCAGACGGTTTTAACCTGCCGCCTGTTGCATCGAGCGCACACCGGGATCTAGACGATCTTACCGAGATAATACGGAACTGTGACCAGTCCAGCAGAACTTTTACATAGTACAATCTGTTTCTTAGGGACTCTGCACATTCTTAGGATCTTTCACGTTGGCAACAACAAGGTTTGAACAAGGATTGAAAGGAGAAGGCCCCCAATAGGTTTTTCGGGATCCGGGATTTCCCTTATTTGAAGCTCGGGATTCGGGATTTGAAAGCAAAATCGGGGCTAGAGTCGGGATTAAAAGTATGCGCGGAGGTGTGATGCCCAAAATAATCATCGGGATTACGGGATTCCTTGAAATTTTGGGTCGGGATTATGGGATTGAAGAACCTTATTGGGGACCCTTAAGTGATAACTGCCACTGATGTGGACCGGATGTGTCCATACAATTACCCAGGGGGTCCGGGACCGGGGTACTCCCAAACATTTCGGATAGGTGTCTTATTTAAGGCCCAAACCTAAAAAATGAAAATCAGTGTAACTACGATTTCACAGTTAAATCTAACTTAAGGTGAAGTCCAGTTTTAACAGATGATTTGTTTCCTAATAAATTTTAGCTGATATGATAACGGCACGATACCCCATCCAAATCACACCGGGATTACATCGCTAACGAGGGCAAAATAAGGATAGAGACCCTAAAAAACCACACTACATCGGGCGATACATGCCCTACCTAGCCCATACATGATAGTGTCCCCTCCGGGCCACACACGAAGCCGTTAAAGTAAAAGCTGCCTGAGGAACAGGAACAACTCTTTCCTCAAATTACAAATCTTGAAAGTATCGGAAAAAGGCTTTAAACGTGTAACGTTGTATGCGTTTACGAACTAAACAAATATTCTGTGTCAGTCCGGCCGGCCTGAGGCGGGCGCGGTAAGAACGTCTAATTAAATTTACTTTGTAAACCTTACATTACAATAATCAAGCTAAGATATTAACGAGTTTCTGTTTGACCATAATATAAAGAAAACCCATTTTTATGTGTTTTTTCGCCACAGGGTATACCGCTCCACATCTAACTGCTTTGGTTTTGACCTTGCCCTTGTCCTTGTCCTTGACCTTGACCTTGACCTTGTCCTTGTCCTTGACCTTGCCCTTGCCCTTGCCCTTGCCCTTGTCCTTGTCCTTGCCCTTGACCTTGTCCTTGCCCTTGTCCCTGACCTTGACCTTGGCCTTGCTCAGGTCCGGGTGGCGATGGAGATGATGGTCGACTCGGCGGTGGTCGTTTAAAGAATGGTGTATGCTCGTGAGTGTGGTAACGGGCCAAAAGGGCTTTCTTCTTTATCTCTTCTTTCTCCTTGGTGCTGAAAGTGAACGTGTTTGGTTTGGACGGTGCGCCCTCTAGCGATCCAACTGCGGCCCTGTCGAGGTCGTTAAGCACCTTGTAAAGATCTTTTGCGAATGTAGCAAGACCCTGTAGATGTTTGGCCGCCTGAGGAAGCATGGACTCGCCGATGGCCCTCGTGAGCTCGTACAGCAGAATCTGTGGGTTTACTTTCTCTAAATTCAGGACGCCAACTTGCAGATAGTAGCAGAAAGCGTTCTTAACCTCGTCTTTGATCCCTGTGGAGCTAAATTCGTTTTTGTAACACATGTAGTCGATTCGCAAAAGGCTGTTGTTGGCGAACACCACGTGGAAGTCTCGCTTCTCCGTTATCCCGGCTGACACGTTTCCAAGCATCGCATCCAGACCAACTTTAATAACACTCTTGAGGCCGGCAAGGAAATCACCGCTTAAGATTTCATCGATGGCGTTTGACACCTCGTCGCTTGTTTTGCTGGAAACCTTTATCAAGTATTTCATTGATTTGTCCACTATTGCTACTATTGGCAAAGTCTTGTCTTCTATGGCTTCGTTCTCCATCTAATCAACAGAGAAAGAAAGCAGCAAGAATCCAAGATGAGATGGGACAGGACAATAAAAGGAAAAACTGAGCAAAGAGAACCGTATAGAAAGGCGATGTCAGAGAGTGAGAGAGAAGCCCGGGGGTACTTTACAGAGGTTTATACGTGGAGGCTCCTCCCTGAGGTCCAATCCTTTATCATTTCATGCACCATTTCAGGAACTCATGGGCTCTTGACAATTTTTATTTTAACAGAAAAGATACTCCTTTCGTATACCTTCTTTTGACAGATGGTTCTCCTTTTACACGGACCTAGTTTAGACTTTTGCATCCCTTTTACCTTCTGTGAATGCACCTAGAATGCTTTCTCGACTTTATTACATGTATGCCTCTCATGGTTAGCCCTACTGGGCCTTTTTGCAGACCGAAATGACAAATTCTCCTACCTTTTCATATACTTCAACAAATGAAATGCCGCCTTTCATAAACTAAAGCCAGCTGAAAAAAGACACCTTGCCCTTTCGGGAAGAGCCTCCACGTATAGACCAATGTGTTTAAAGGGTGTTTTTAAAGTAATACCATAACATCGCACACATATCTTTTTTGATAAATTCAGTACTCAACGGTAAGAGCCACCTTATTTATATTTAGGCAGTCTCATGAAATTCACCTCATGAAAATACTGAAGAACGCCACGCTTATGTCAGCAAGGTAATGAACAGTGCTAGCATCCTCGGCAGGCTTCACTCAGGTCGACACTGTCCTGTTTTAGAGAACGAGTGGGAGAATGTGGTGTAGAACGGGGAATGACATCAGACTCCTCAAGGTCAGTGTAACCGTTACAATAGGAGTTGCCTGCAGAGGAGGCTAAAACAGTACCAAAGCAAGACAGTACTGAAGGCTTGTAGCAATCATATGGATGATAAAATTTAGAGGGCTAAATCTACAGACTCAAAAGGTATTGTGCAGCACAATTCATGCGGGCTGCAATACAAGACATGACAAGGATGATTCTAGGCACACTATTTTAGAAATTCAAGTCAAAGGCTAAAACGTTCTAGCAGAACACCTCGGCTGGTAATTAACAATTGCAGCGTATGCCGGAAAATACTTCTTGGTAACTTTGTTTCAATCGTCACACTTTATAAACAGGACCCGGTTCCTCCAAAGATGGTTAAGTTTAACCCACGATTAAGCCAAGTTTTTAAGGAAGACTTTCTTGTCTAAGAACTCGCAACTCGAGCTTTCACTGTTGAGTGTTAACTCTAAAATGCAGTAATGATAACACAAAATGTTACTCTTAGCAATGCATAGGAAGGTAAAATACAAAAACAGAACAAATTTTAATCCTGGATTGATGCTAATCAGCCTTCCAAGAACCGGGCCCAGTACTATAAGAAAATACTGCCCAATAGTTTTCATTCAAGGGGTCGCACGCACCCCAAGACTTGTTCTAGCGGCATAATCAAAAGGTGGAACTGTAGCTTGCACCTAATTTGGGCCGGAAGAAGGAGAAATCAAACACCCGAAAGCTCAGAAAAAATTCCGATTTCCGTGTGAGAATCGAACTCACGACCCTCCGAGTTCTAGTTCGGATGGTCCGATGATACCCATTTCTCGCACCTACCTGAGAAGATGCAGCAGCAATCCTATTTTCCATCATCTTATGCATCATTTGAAGAGTTTCCGTCACTTCCAACTCATTCTTGTCTTGTTGCTCCTTGATGCTTTGTGTGATAGAGTTCCCCATTTTCCTTTTAAAATAAAACCGCCAAGACGATAACTGGTGATGTGACTCTCAGTGCTGATAGCCCGCCGGATTGAACCGTTTTATCTCCGCGCCAGGCAGATAAACGCGTTTAAATGAGTTTTAGGGGATCCTTTTATTTCAATAACCCTTTGGATAATTCCGAATTTGGGGACTCACTGAGTACTATTGGTTAAAACTGATCAAATGTGATGAAATTTTTGGGATGACAAAATGTTGCCAAGCACGCGTTTAAACGTGTTTTATGGAACTATTTTCCCCAATGGTTAATTTATACTATATTTAATTTGTTTCCTCCAGTTGAGTGTGTCTGCTTTTTTTGAACTTGAATTAACCAGCTCGCAACAGTGTACATGCAGCACAGTTAAACTATACTTTAAAAAAATTACAATGACGGGACATCAATTTTCCCTTTCCGCCGATACGCCGTGGCGTTGAAAATGGGTGCTCTAATTTGGATTTTATTTTAGCATTAAAAGTTAATCAACAACTCTTCTGAATCCAATTGTAGTACTTTGTCTGAAGTTACTTCAATAGACGTTCAAAGAGCAGAAATGAATTGTGTAAATCGAACTGAACTCGGCCATAGTTTTCAGTTTCGTCAGATAGTTAAAAGAACTTTCTTTTGAGTCAAGTATGTCTAATTACTCTCTAAAACAGCAGAGTTCTCAAATAATAAAACTTCGGTAATTCACTGCTAGACCGAAAAACTTCGGTTATTTTTCTAACAATAAACTTATAAAATTACCATGGAAAAACATCCCCTTTTTCGAACAAGCTAACCGTCGTAAGCTTAATTTTTTCAGTATTAGCAAATGTTTTATTGATGAAAGGGCTAACGTTTAAACGTGGTATGATGCGCTAATCATAAAAAAATCGGGAAATTTTTAAAAGTTAGCTTCGTATTTGTTTTATTCTTTGGTCAGAGCTGTCTGCCAATGTCTTGGCCACTGAATACAGAGTTAATTGGTCCTTCTCACCATGGAAGCGAAACTCCTTTTTCGAATATTCCACTGTCTGTCTTGTCTGAATACTTCAAAGGTACCTTTTTAGAAACGAAAAAGTGATCAACACGTTTCGGTCACTTAATTGCATTCGTCTTTGTCGGTTGCAGACTCTTTGCGATGACTCTAAATGGCTGTTTTTTCAATAGACACTCGTTAACTTTGGTTATACCACTTTATGGGAGTTTCTGAATTATGACTTAATTGTGACCTTCGTTGGCTGCAGACTTTACGATGACTTTTAATGGGTGTTTATTTCAATGGAAAACCGTTGTTACTTTAAGAGAGTTTGACAGCTATGTTCGACTCGAGTAGCCCCTAATTTGGGAAGCGCCGGGTTGTGCCACAATTTAACGCCAAAATTTTAATGCATCGTGTTTGTGCGAGTTTTTCAGGGAAGACGCGAGTAAACGTGAACACGTCTTGGCACTAATGTAAAGCCGCCGATAGTCTTTAATTGAAATGATCAAAATATAATTTTTAACACGTATCGTGTCTTTCGTGAAACAACGTCTTCCTTGAGAAACAAGTTAGACTACGAGTAATTTTCATTGCCTTCAGAGACTAAAAAAACACAGCAGCGCGATTCACTCACGAGGAAAGTGACACGCGGAGGGAAGAACGCCAGTCTTACTTCTTGGTGTCAGGTTCTTCGCAGATGGCTATTTTCCCGCGCACTCGCGTATTTCGCCCACCCTGACTCGCTTTATTATCACTGAGAATAGTAAGCTCGAGGGAGTACTAATGGTTAAAGTCAAAATTCGCCCTTTCAGTATTTTAGATAAAGAAAAAATTCTTATAATCCTCCTCAGTACTTGTATACAACATCCTTTCGGAGTGTTCACTTATTTTGGAGATAAAAAGACCACACCTGTTATTGTTCTTAGCATTTAAAACTTTAATCAGCGCTTATTTGCAAAGCCGATTATAACTTCTGCCTGCAGTTATTCTAATCTTATAGCTTTATAGGCAGAATAGGAAGACACCGACGGCCGGTAAAATATGCGTTGAGTTCGACAGTTTTTCTTAGCACCTGTGTTTATAGAATAGCATTAGCTAGCATTGCATAGAAATGGCCGCGCTTTTTGCACAATTTAAGGTAAATCTGTTTATCACCAAACACCCGAGGTGCTCTTAAGAGAACTAATTCAACAAGTGTATACTCTAGTTCCAGTTGCATGGAGTTTAGAAGTGTTGGTTAGTGGCCTGGCTAAATAAAATGGTCTTATGATATTTTACGTATCCTTGGAGTAAGTGCTAAGCACACGCCCGCCCCTTTTTTAATGATAAAAAAGGATTTTTTTTCTTTGAAAAAAAAAAAAGAATGAAAGCCTTATTTTGGCTTCAGTATATAGCACCATAGGAACTCAAGTCTCCCATGAAGTACGCAACAACTGTAAAAATACAAAAGCCTCAAATTTGTCCTATTCGAAATTGAAAGACAAACAATGCTTCTCTCAAAACCAATTATACCTTTTTTAGATATTCACACTAATGAGCAGGTCATTACTAGATTCGATATAATTATTTGTTGCCGTTATTTCTTGAAAAATGCCATCTCAGATATAAAAGGCTTGAGTCAATTTTCAACCAAAGAAGGGCTAGCAAAGGATGAGTGGAACTTTTTTTCCAGAAAATTACATTTTCTTTTGAATACCAAACATCGTGACTAAAAAGGCATTTATCACGAAACGTCCTCAGACACACAGTTAATTGATTTTTCTTTTCTTTTTTATTTCGTACCATGGCAGCATAAGTCCATTTTCGAGCAAGCCACAGTTGCTGTTGAAGGCTATGTTTATTATACTGGATAGCTTTCGCCCCGGCACGAAAACCGAACCTGATCAGGGTTCCGTTCACACATACGAACTGTGATTTCGGCGCGATTTCTCAGAACCGTCGCGCAGATCTAAGTGGAGAGTCACATACCACATATTGAATAGGCGTTCATGCTATACCGGATAGATTTTAGTGTTAGATCGAAAAGCTAAACGGTATGGTTCGTGCATAGCCTAAGATGAATTGGACGAATCAATTTGTTTGTAGTATCAAATAAAAAAATTAACTGGCGGTATTTTGCTGGTATGCACTTCTGGTTAATAGACATCAATGATTTCTGTGAAGTCTTAGAATAATAATGGTATAATCAGTTATGCAGTCCTCAAATTTCGATTCTGTGAACATGTGAACAAAACTTTGAAAAACTGTAACACTGCTTTAAAATCATTTAACACAGCGCAAACTTTTGTCATTTGTTATAGCTACATTTGGTTTTACAACGAAAATAAAGAAACAAGTTTATTTTAAAAAGAAAAGAGGAAAGGAAATAAAAATAGAGCGAGTTCTTAAGGAATGGGGATCGTGATTTTCCGTCTTGAAATAGGAAAGCAGTTGTTCTAGTACTTGGTCTATTTGTTAAGGACTTGCATTTTGATATCTTTTCTCATCGTGTTGCTCCTGGAAAAAAATTGCCTGTGTCCTCGTTAAGAAATGTGTGAAAAATTGGAGTTGTACTTCATTGAAAATTAACCTCTTATAGAGAATAACCGTTATTCTTCGAAAGAGGTTTATTTTCAATGAAGTGCAGCTTCATTTTTCCAATTATTGTTTAACGGAGATGCCGCGTGCAAAATTCTCTTTACCAGGCAACCACCGCATTTTACTTGGAAATAATTTCAAAACGTCTTAAATTACTCTGCATGTCTGAGAAGGGTATTCTTTTAAGAGAACTGACTCTCAAGAGAAGAACGAGGGGGCGAAAACAAGTAAGCAATTAAAAAATGGGAAATATTGCTGATACGATTAAAGCACAGCAAGAGAAAAACGAGGCTGAAACAGTCGAAAAGCTTCAAACTATCCATAATATGATGGTCGACAAGATTGCCTCGTCATCAGCGAAAATGCAGAACGACGCGATTGAAGACAAGACCCTTCCCATTGTAGCGGTCATTGATAAATCCGAGAAATACAAAGTCCACGTGCGAACCGCCCCTTCCGACGATGTCTCAGATGGCATCAACGATCTGCTGAGTGGAGATTTTCTTGGAGGGCTGAAAAGCCTGATCGGCGTGGCTCTTAACGAGTTTTTGGGCAACGCATCGGCCGGCGAGACCGAAAAGAACGACTTTCATGTCATTTACGCCAACAACAGCCTCTTGCGTCTCGATTATATGATGTACAAGTACGAATTCTCCTCGAAGGGGTTAAAAGATAATTATGAGAACGCATTCTGTTACTACTTGCAAGTTGGTGTCCTGGACCTGGAGAAAGTGAACTCGCAGATTTTGCTGTATGAGCTGACTAGAGCAATCGGCGAAGACCATCTCCCAGACGCCGCACATCACTTGGCCAGCCTGGCTAAATTTGCCAAGGAGCTGTACAGCACGGTTCATGAGTTGAAGACCGCGGCAATTACAGGCGGTGGGGCGGCTCCCAATCCCAATCCCAATCCAAACCCCAATCCCCCCTCTGGCGGGAATAAGGAGGGGGAGGGGTATTCGGCGGGCAACAGCAAGTGCAAGCAAGCCATGCCTCCAGCATTGGATGCGATCGATAGGGAAGTGCGTGTTTTCGCAGAAGAAGAGAAAGAGATTGAGGGACAGGAAATGACCAGGACAGAGGAGATTGGAGTCATTGTGATGGAGAAAGAGATACAGGCTTCACAGTAAACATGCAAAGTTATCATGGACAATGTGAAGTTGGAAAAAAGGGCTGTATCTTTTGTTGCTTGGGGTTTGAAATCAAAATAGATTTGAAATCAAAATATAGATTAATTCTGACAAACGTCGTTCCCTAAGTTTTTCCCTGAGGCTTTCATGAGCATACTAGATATATTATTTGAACTAATTGTCCTTTTGCGAGATTAAAAAGATTTCAGCGTCAACGAAATGTTTGCATATAGGTGGCGCTTGTTCCAAAGGATGAACAAAGAATTCTTTAAAAGTTCATTTGAAAAAATTGAAGATATGTTGTGCCATA